TTTACTGTTGAAAGGATACCTCAAGTGTCCTCAACTTGCTCTTTTTCAGGAAATTTCCTGGGGAGTGTTTTTGACTGTGATTGATTTATCTACACTCAGATACACAATGAACACTGGGATAGTATAAGAGAGCTCTATGCATCAACACTGGACCTGCAACTTCATTTTTTCACATGCTATTGAGAAGTGCAAATATTGGCATTAAAATATGGAGAAGTGTGTTATAACAACACAGTTAAGCAGCTAAGTTGCAGCTATCGTCTGGTGGGGAATACTCTTAAGTTGAAGGAAAATTAGAGTCCAGACACAAAGTAACCAGAACCTTTGATAATGGGGATGGTTTTAGAGAGATCATACCTAGTCAGTTGAGTGTTGTTTAATTGGCAACAGCTCTTCAGGGCTGGAAGCAATCATCTTTTGCAGTATGTGCCCCTGCACCCCAAATCCTCCAAGTGGAAATGGTGGGCTGGGATCTGTGACCATCTACATGCAAAACATACACTCTGCCAGGGAATGATAGCCACTTCCATCAGGGCTGACCTTTAGTCAACAGGAGGGTTTCAAACAGTGCAAGAATTCTGTTGGCTGACTTGGTTAAAATGTGTGAAACACATTGTGAGGTGTTTGGTGGAAAGTTCCTCCTGCCCAATTTTGGAATGGGCAAACTCTAATTTGGGCACAAATTCATGTCCGACTGGCCCCAGTCTGTATTAGGATGTGCCAATTTTCCAGTACCAATCTCCTTCCCTGTTACTGTTCCACTTATGCTCATGTCTCCATCCAATACTTGGCAATGTCTCCTGTCCCAGGAAATCTCCTTATCACATCCCACAATGTTTAAGAGGATCTTTCCAACCCCAAAGAATCACTTTTGAGGCATTTGGGAGATTGCATTTGAGAAATCACCTTTGCATGAGTGATCTTCCACTTTCATTCCAAGTCAGTTACTAGATGGCTGTTACAAATCTATTGCAAAGCAAACATCAAAAACCCTTAAAACATATACTCTGGATATACGACCATGTTTTGATACAAGTTACCCGGCAGCAAACAGAATCCAAAATATTTGACAGAAGCATGATTGTGACTATTATCAGTGGTCTTCAAATCAATCCTGGAGCTTACTTCTAGCTCCTACAGATACAGAATCGACTTGGATATTCAAGTTTTCTTCCCTCTTATCCCCTTTCATCAATCTGTCTCCAATTAGCCTAATCCACATTTTCATGGCCCTCTAAGTAAGTGCCCCTATAGGCATGGCTACAGCCCAATTAGATGCTACTCCTCTTGACACACACACACTCACGGAGACAAAGACCATGAAGGAAACATGGCTTCCGGTTAATTTCTGGAACTAGAAACTATGGATTCATTCCAGCTTGTTTTTGGAATGATTAAGACGTGCCGAAAAAAACTTTCTCATGTAATAGCACCTTCTTCCATATGTACTTACCCATATTCTGAAATCATATTCAGAAATATCCAAGTAAGCGGCATTAAGTGGCTACTGAAAAAAAGGCCTTGTGAGTGGTGGCAGCCCATTCCTGACCCGAGGCACAAGGGCCTGTGCTCTTTTTAGGTGACATTTCTGTTTTCCCAGGCTTTTCAGATCTTTGAATTCACTAAATTTTAATATTTTTTGTGATTTTTCTATCTAGTGTGTTTTTTATTTTTAGTGTATGTTGTATCTGCTTTGACAATCTATTGCTGAATTTTCATGCTGATTTTAAAAGCAGGAACATTTCCTGTTGTATTTTGCTATGGTGAAGATTATTAACATATTATTCATAGGCCACCCAGTGAATTCTATGAGTTGAAATATAGGTACTATAAATACATACATACAAACTAGGTTTTAGTAGCTGCCCCATGGTTAGCTTTCCTTGGGGCTTCAGTATCTTCTGTGAAGGACTGCAAAACCTAGTATAGGGAGTAAAGAAAAGGAAGGTTGATGTGGAGATTTTATCATTTAAAAATGAGCAGCTGTCTTACATAAGTGCATTGATTCTGACAAGCTTTGTAACAGCAAATCATGGAGTTAGCCAACACAGTGCCTCCCACATGCTCTCCAGTTCTGCTTTCAATCAACCAGTCTGTGTCATAGGTTGTATATGGTGGGTAAACTTGGAGTGCCAGATTATTTAGGGGCTAAACAAGCCACCAGTTAACCCATGCTTATAGTTGCATTAATTACTGGGTTGTTTAAGCCCCTAAGCAACCTAGTTCCCCGAGTTCACAAGTTACACTCACAACCTGGATGACTGACTCTTAAGTTGATGACTGAATGCAGGAATATGTAGGAGGTGGAATATCCGCTGTTTAATTTGAAATTATGTGCAAATGACGACTGTGTACATGTGTGCATACTTTAAACTGTCATAATTTATTCAACTTTCTAAGAAGATAAAAATACAAAACTAGATTTCTGAAGAAAAGAAAGCGCCTTGTATATTATAAAATAGCACCAAGGATTACAGTGCCAGATCCATGATCATGAGACTGGGAGGAGGGTTGCAAACTGTAATTACCTTAACTGGAACTCCAAGTTGTTTGAATAGCCAGTTTGCAGTGAGTTAATCAAATGCCAAACATCTGAGGCTTATAACTCCTGCATGTATAGTACATTTGTGCATGCATGTAATTTTCAAAAATATAGATGCTCTTCCCCATTGCAGTCCAAGTGCTCCTCTGGACTTCCACAAACAGCTCAAGAAAAAAATTGCAAACCAAGAGCCATTAGGTCAGAGAAATGCCAGATACTTAACATAATACATGCTTCTGAAAGTGATTTTCTATATGATCAGAGTGTTTTAAAAATGTTGTTAGTTGTGAAGTCACGTCCGACCCATCGTGACCCCACGGACAACATTTCTCCAGGCCTTCCTGTCCTCCACCATCCCCCGGAGTCCACTTAAGCTCATACCAACTGCTTCAGTGACTCCATCTAGCCACCTCATCCTCTGCCGTCCTCTTCTTCTTTTGCCATCTATTGTTCCCAGCATTAGGGTCTCCTCTAGTAACTCCTTCCTTCTCATTAGGTGGCCAAAGTATTTGAGTTTCATCTTCAGTATCTGGCCTTCTAAAGACCAGTCAGGGTTGATCTCCACTAGGACTAACCAGTTTGATTGCCTTGCAGTCCAAGGGACTCGCAGGAGTCTCCTCCAGCACCACAATTCAAAGGCCTCAATTCTTCGGCACTCAGCCTTCCTTATGGTTCAGCTTTCACAGCCATACATTGCAACTGGGAAAACCATAACCTTGACTATATGCACTTTTGTTTGCAGGGCGATGTCTCTGCTTTTTAGTAAGCTGTCTAGATTTGCCATAGCTTTCCTCCCAAGGAGCAAGCGTCTTTTAATTTCTTGGCTGCAGTCCCTGTCTGCGGTGATCTTGGAGCCCAGGAAAATAAAATCTGTCACTACCTCCATTTCTTCCCTATCTATTTGCCAGGAAGAGATAGGACCGGATGCCATGATCTTAGTTTTCTTAATGTTTAGTTCCAAGCCAACTTTTGCGCTCTACTCTTTCACCCACATCAAGAGGCTCTTTAGTTCCTCTTCACTTTCTGCCATTAGAGTGGTATCATCTGCATATCTGAGGCTGTTATTTCTCCCGGCAATCTTATTTCCAACTTGTGATTCATCTAGCACCGCCTTTCTCTCTAAGTTATATAGGCAGGGCAACAGTATACGGCCTTGCTGAACTCCTTTCTCAATTTTGAACCAATCAGTGGTTCCGTGTCCAGTTTTCACTGTTGCTTCTTGACCCATATATAGGTCAAGGTTTCTCAAGAAACAAATAAGATGGTCTGGTACTCCTATCTCTTTAAGAACTTGCCACAATTTGTTGTGATCCACACAATCAAAGGCTTTAGCATAGTCAACGAAGCAGATGTTTTTCTGGAACTCCCTAGCTTTCTTCATGATCCAGCATATGTTGGCAATTTGATCTTTAGTTCCTCTGCATCTTAGAAACCCTGCCTGTACTTCTGGCAGTTCTTGGTCCACGTAGTGATGTAGGATTTTGAGCTAGCATGTGAAATGAGTGCAATGCTGCGGTAGTTCGAACATTCTTTGGCATTGCCCTTCTTTGGAACTGGAATGCAAACTGACCTTTTCCAATCCTGTGGCCACTGTTGAGTTTTCCAAGTTTGCTGGCATATTGAGTGTACTACTTTAACTGAATCATCTTTTAGGATTTTGAATAGCTCAGTTGGAATACTGTCTCCTCCACTAGCTTTGTTGTTGTTAAGACTTCCTAAGGCCCATTTGACTTCACATTCCAGGATGTCTGGCTCAAGATCAGCGACCACTGCTTTAAAAATGTCATGGTTCCTTTGTTGCAAGAATATCCTTCAAATTCACCTGGGTTGGGAAGCCTCTTACCAGAGTAGTATACAATGATAATACAAAACAGGTGTACTGTTCCTTGTTTAAGAAAAGTGACCTGGTGAAATTTCTCTTCTTCAAATAGCTGTATACAGTAACAGTATATTTCTCAATTAAATTTCATATTTCCCCCTTGTCTGATATTCTGAGTTAAGAATGAGAAAGTAAAGCAAGCAAACCAGGACCAACCAGTATGGTCCTGATTTCTGAGTTAGATGATTTCTGAACACCTTGTCTATTAAAAACTTGATAAAGAAGTCCATTCATCAAATGAGGAAAGACCACAAACTCTAATTACTTATGATACATACTGGAGGATAAATCTATGCAAGATACATGGCATCTAGATTACTCTAAACATAGCACAGCATCTTTTCTTAACCTTGTGAAAAATGAGAGTAGTTCTGAACCCTTGTTACTAATTGCCTATATCAACTGCCTACAGCAATAAGGTGTATTTAGCTTTATAGTGAGATTCTAATGAAAACGGCTTCAAATTTCATTAAAACAGTACCTCTGATAACATTACCCAACATCCAAATAGTTCCCTTATGATCTTTTTACTTATAAAGAAGTGAGAAAATTAGATAGACAAGGAGGGAAAATGCTAGATCAGTATTTGGGCAGTTGTTTTATTTAAGCCTTGCTAGATAATAAATAATGGACTATACTACTTGAATAACAGATGCTTTCATGCATGTAACACATACAATAGTGCTGGCATATGTTTTTGTTAGGACATACTGAAAAGAGGTATTTGGCAATAATATCAATAGCTTCAAAATCATAGCACAAATTCTCTTTGCAATTAGTTTTTTCTACATTTCCTTTATACAATTTTGAATATTAATTTTCTTTTTTAAACTCCTGCTTTGACTTTGATCTGGTAAACCTTGTAACAGTCAAACCCCTGATAAATAGCATTTATAGTTAGGCATATTTAAATATTCATTATTCTTGCTCAAAGCTATGTATATTCAAGGTCAGATTTTGAGAGGAAAACAGCAGAAATTTATTTCATTCAAACATATTCAGTGCAAATGCCAATCTAGTCCCTAAGCTATGATACGGTAGTGTAGGGCGCAATCCACCAGATTTCCTGCATGAACATCACTGAATAAATTAAAATTGTATAAAAGGACAATTGTTTCTTTTCATAAGCCTCTTCCATTTCAGTGATATTTGTATAGAGAACTCCAACATGGGTTGCGCTCGGATGCAGTAAAACATATGGCCAAACAAGAGTGTAAACAATTGTATTCTATGATATTTAAGACAAATTTAATCAATATGCAGATGCTGCACTACTAGACCATTTTCAGGTTCTTTTTAGGTGGAACAAAGAGGCTTCTGGGTGGGAACTCACATTTTAATTGTACTACAAAGGCCAAAAAGGAACTAGTTGGTATAATACAAATCAAGGCAAATAGTTAAAAAAATTAAATATTCTAATTAACACTGAAAAAGTGTTTATTTACAGTTTCTCAGTGATACCAGTGTATAGCCACACAAAGTATAATCCGCTAGTTTTTTAAATAGAGGCAGTCACCTAACCCGCCCTCATTCAAAACATTGAGTATTAGTATAAAGTCTCTCCCCAGCATCAATTTAATGAAGGGGATCGATCTGTGGTCCAGAGTAGTTCTATGTATGGCCATTTGGTCTGCAAACAGCGCTTGATTGGTGTGTCATCCGTCTGCAGCATGGGGTCTTCGAAGCCCATAATCACTGCTGTACCTTCAACGTACATGACCTGCAAAAATGTAATTATCTAGTTTAATTTACTGTTGCAAAGATCTCTTTTTATTATTTGACATCAGAAGCATTTTGCACCCAAAAGTAGTCACTTCAAGAGAGCAAAAGCTTAAATCAATTTAGATGTTCTGCACCTTACTTAGAATAAAATAAAATAAACTACACATGCTCTCTGTTCATTAACCAAAAGCAGCTATGAACAAATAAAATGACATCAGAACCAACTTCATCCTTGGCTTGTTTGCTTGACTTTGATGAGCTCTACCTGTTTTCTATAAGGCACAGGAAGAGTGCTATATTACTGTTTTCATACAGGAAGAATTATATTGTATTTTTTGATTTCAAACAATCCCGAATGCAGAAGGATGCATTATATAAAAACCTTATTTTCAACACCAGAACACAGTTCCTGAGTATGTAAAATATTAAGAAAAACAGAATACTGCCCCCCACCCCCCCAGTGAATAACTATAACAGATACATGTCTGATTAGGAGGAAAAAGTTTAAAAGGATGTGCTTGTCAGACAGATTTTTGCAATGTACAACTCATTTACATACAATCTTAAAGTCCTTTGCGTAGCAGAGCCTGCTATATTGATATAAGACAAGTGATACTCTCCAAATATGATCCCATCTGGCTGTGATGGCACTTTTTTCTTACAAGAAGGGGAGAAAGTTGTGTGCTCTAAAAAGGCATGGATCAACACCACTCCTTGCGCTGAAGAATGCAAAAAAGCAAGCAACAACATCTTAGCCCCAGTCAGCTGGTGAAGTGCCCTGTGCTGCCATCATTCAGAGGGCATTCACACACAACCTTGGGCTGTAACTGATTTCAAGAACAGATCTGGGCTTTTGAAAGCACCAGCATTTTCCAGCATCCCATAGGAACTCCCTTTGTCTACAGGAACACTGTCACCTGTTCCCTTAGCCTGTTTCACACTCAGTGTATCTGCATATAGATACCTACTTTATCTAATAAAGGGTGATGGGAGCCATCTCTTCAGACAGCTAGACAGAACAGTTCTAAGTTACACCGCAGACATTTAAGAAAGTCAGACACAAGCATTTATGCATACAGAATTGTAAGCAGTGTTAAAATGCAAGAAAAATTGCAATATTTTTGGTAGAGAAAGCCTTACAATGAGAAGCATGAACAGACTAGCCCAGTGGTGGCAAACCTATGGCATGCGTGCCACAGTGGGTATGCAGAGCCCACTCTGTCGGCACACGAGCCAAGTCGTCCCACCATCGCCCCAGCACCAAGAATTGGAAAACAGTGTACATAGGGGCCATGCGCATGCTCAGAAAAGGAGTTGTGGTGCCAGGCAATGACATCACAAGTCGCAATTCATTAGCCACGACTCATCTGAGCTTTCGCATGGCTGCTCAGTGCACTGCAGAGAGAGAGAGAGAGAGAGAGAGAGAGAGAGAGAGAGAGAGAGAGATTGATTGATTGAGATTGCTTGGACTGGCTGTGAGTTGTTTTTTCTAATCTAAAACCTCAGTTTTCAGGTTTTATTGCAGTGTTGGCACTTTGCAATAAGCAAGTGTGTTTGGGCACTTGGTCTCTAAAAGGTTCACCTTCACTGAGTTAGAGTTAGAAAAACAAGGTGTCCTGGCATGGTTTTGAGGGTTGGAATGTGTTTAGGATGGGCAGAAATGATAAGCTGTGCAGAAAAAGCTACTCAAGGAAGGCTTTTTCAAAATCGCATTATTTTCAATGGTATTTTACCCCTATATTAGGGTTAGGGGAGTGCACCAGGGCAGGGTTAGGGTTAGAAAAATGAGGTGTCCTGGCATGGTTTTGAGGGTTGGAATGTGTTTAGGATGGGCAGAAATGATGATCTGTGCAGAAAAAGCTACTCAAGGAAGGCTTTTTCAAAATCGCCTCTTTCAATGCTATTTTACCCCTATATTAGGGTTAGGGGAGTGCACCAGGGTAGGGTTAGGCCAGTGGTTGCAAACCCATGGCATGTGTGCTACAGCAGGCATGCAGAGCCCTCTCTGTTGGCATGCGACCCAGGTCACCCTGGCATCGCCCCAGCAGCCAGGCATTGGATAACAGCACACACAGGGGCCATGCGCATACTCAAAGGAGTAGCAGCACCAGGTGATGGCATCACAAGCCGCATCTCATTAGACATGACTTGTCTGAGGTTTTGCATGGCTGGTCAGTGCACTGGCAAGGTTATATATATATTTGCTTGGACTGGCTGCAAGTTGTTTTTTCTAAACTAAAACCTCAGTTTTCAGATTTTATTGCCGTGTTGGCACTTTGCGATGAATAAGTGGGTTGTGGGTTGCAATGTGGGCACTTGGTCTCTAAAAGGTCCGCCATCACTGGACTAGCCTATAATGCAAAAGCTAATTTTACAGTAATTTTTCTTTTGTTTTTCAGCAGAGCTGAAATATTGCTTAGCACTAAATAAATATGACTCATTTTTTTGTAACTTAAATTGATTCTTCTCCCACTTTCTAAAAGGATGCTTTGCTGCTACACTGAAGCATCATGGTTAAAGATTTCATTATTCTTTGCTTCATATCAACTGAACAAAACTGGTGTCAAACGAGAAATCCTAACTTTTTTCCTTCCAAGTTAAGTAATGATTTCTATTTCTTTGGTTCCCTATTTGTTCTTTTGTATCAGTAGCAGAATCACAGCATCTTTTAGATCACATGAATGGCTATCTACTTTGAAATAGGATGAAACCAATTTCTGTCCGTGGATTATGTGCTATAACATGCAAATGAGCTAAAGACATTTAATGCTGGATTATGTGTATCTGATGTTACCATACCTTTTCATTAAAATTTGATTGCTTCAACCCGTTGTAGTGATAGACAGTGAATGATTCTTGCACCTTCGAGTCCTAAGAACACACACAAAACTGTCACTCTCAAGTCACAACATATTTCTTTCCTTGCTCTGCATCTATGCTTGCTGAGTAACACATAAAAAGAAAACTATCGGGATAGAAAAATGTAAATAAAGACAGAAATCTTCTGCAACAGAAAGCAAGGTCTACTGCATAAAATAGGGTTTCTAAGCAAATATTATGGGTTTGCCCCCAAGATTTAACTTGGACCCAATTTGGTAGTTGGGAAAATGAGCAATTCTGCTCAGACTAAGTTATAGGCCATCCACTGGATTCTAAGCCAAGATTAGAAATTTGAGTCTTCATGCCTCCCATTGATTACAGGAAATCATGAAACAGTGACAGAGTTTTGCCTCTTGGTCAGAAGTGGATGATTATTTGCATGCATAGTTTCTCATTAAAGAACTGTATCTGCCAAATATCAAAACAATGAATGCAGAGGTTTTGGTAATACACGCCTTTTTAATTTTATGCTCTTCTTTAAAGGGAACTGCTGATAACATTTTTATTTCTTGGCAGACTTAGATCAAATTTGCAAGGGTAGCTGCTCCCTCTGAGAGAATCAAGCTTGCCAAAACTTCAGCTGAATAGGAGCAGTTGGTTTTGTGAAAAAGCAACCTTGACATTTTCCAACTATCCCAAACTTATTCCCCCTGTTTCTTGTGCAGCCTTGTTCTACACAGAGCAGTCCTTAAGAAACCTACAAATTTCAAAAGGATGGATGCAGCAGTTCCTGTGGAAGGGAAGTTGTTAAATTTTTGAGGGGGAATTGTTTCACCCCTTCCAAAGACAAAAATGCTGTTTGGAGAAAAGACAGAATGTTTGTTTCTGAATACAAAGCAACAATTTCATTCTGGAAATTTTGGGGAAAAGCCTGCTTTACATCAGGAAGACTAGAAAACTGTCCAAAGAGGCCCTATTGTGCTTGAGCATTGTCCAAATTTGATGTATATCCTTAGTTCATCTGTGCAGGATTATACTGTAAGGAGTAGCAACATGAAAGTCTTCTAGGTTGTAGAAAGTAACTAAAACAACAAATTATCCTGATAGCATTTGTTTGAACTGTTCCACTGATCTCACACATATGGGCTCTGTGCCTGCATGGGGCTTGTTGTCAGGAAGATTTTCTAGCTAGTCTCCTCAGGCACAGTGCCCATATGTGTGATTCACAAAGACCACGAAGAAGAAATATCAATGAATGGTGCTGACTCTCTCTCTGTGAAGAATCATGCCCAAATAGGCAACCAGATGTGGTGCAGTGCTAATCTAGTGAGAACACTGGTGGGGAAACATCCTCCACACTCCTACATTCAGTTTGGAAGTACTATCCACATTTGGTATGAGACACCTTTTTCTGCTGAATTCTAGTCTGGGGAAGGTCTTGGGGGCTGCATTCCATTGCTAGTCAGGAGTCAAAGGCAGAGAGGGCATAACAAAGATTATTACTGGTTTTATGTCTCCGAAGAAGCACTCAGGACAAGATTTTTGCATATCCATTCTGAAGTAAACAGAACTGAATTAATGGCAGTATTTTCAAATAGCATCCAAAGGAGTGAACTTCTACATGTCTTCTCAGAAGGAAGCATGACAGCCTTTGCATGTGTACTCAGAGGCACACAAAACAAGCACTGGAGGCGAACAGGCCTGAATTACTTAGCAGCTTTCCCCCAAGGCTCCACCTCCTTTGACTCACAGGGTAAAGCCTTATTTCTGATCAGTAGTAGATCATATACAGAAGCTTTTCCATGCCATGGAGCCTGGAAAGTAGGCTGTAGGCTGGATGAAGTATCTCTGAAAGTCTGCAGGCCAGAAATTCCCCATTCTTCATCTACAATGACTGACACCTGCTCCCCACTGTTTCAAAAGGAATCTTCCCTAGCCCTATGGAAAGGAATCAGAAATTCAGCCTGGGACCTTGTCAGAACTACAGTCTTCCCTTCTGAAAATATTTAAATATGTCTCTCCTCTGTTGTCTAGTACACAGGCCTATTGAGCATGATCTAAGCTTAGGTGAGTGGGTAGTGATGACAGTTTCCAGTGTTCCTGTCATCTATAGCAACAGTAGCCATCACGTAACATTTCAAACAGCTTCATATCATACAGGCCACAATGAGTTACAAGAAAGAGAGAGAGAGTTATTATGTAAGCAAACAAACATTGGAAAAGGAGAGAATAAAGGGACAGAGGAGTTACCTAGCTCAAAACATTATGTACATTAAACATGAAAAAGTTGAATGCTTCACTGTTCTATCACAGGAGCACAAATATAAGGTTAAATTACCTGTTCAGGGAAAAATTCTTGAAGAAAGGGTCCTAGTAAAATGATTCCTAGTCCTTCTGGATCTAATTTTGTCTTCATGAGATTTACACTAAGATGAAGAAAACACAAAATATGGTACATTTGTACTCTTGTATGACTAAGAACTACGGTTTTGCAACACTTTTAACTGCCAAAAACAATCAAGCTGTTGTACTTATAATCTCAATGGCAAATACAAAGGAATGGCTTTTTGCTGCCAGAACAGAGTTATTTTTAAACCAAAGTAATCTCGTTTAATATCAAAGTTACAACAATAATTGAGAAACTACGCCATATTAGGTAAAGCTTTCAGAAAAAAAGCACACTGTCTAATTCCTGGGATTACACTCCAGAAGATTTAATGAGTCCTGCACAGTCCTGACCATTAACATACCAATCATCCTTCAAACTGTTCTGCAAAGACCAACTCTTATTTGACAGATTCTAATCACTGGAATTAAGCATGCACTGAAAATATATGCGAAACTAATCTACTACAGTACATTGTATGTTCTAGTTGCTTAAAGGGCACACTTTTTAAACATTAGATATGCAAATAGTATTCTCTTAATAGATAAATTTGCATGCAAATTCAGCTGGAACAAATGACATATTTTGGCAGGTAACCCAAGATTAATGTAATTTAACCATATGACATATGTTTTGGATTTCAGTATTACTATTACACTCTGTAAGTTATTACAAGCAAGCTGTACATACATCTAAACCCAATTGCCATGTTAAGAGGAAAGTATCCAGCACTTCTCCAAAATGCACATTCGATAGAATAAAGGTCTCTCCTCTAAAATCCAAGTCTGGAATTTCTGTGCAAGCATCTTGTTCTTAGCCTTTACAGCTGACACATATTAAACCAGCTGTACACAACAGAGCAAAACTGCTCTCTGTAAGGTGGGAATCTGATCCTGGAAAATTTAATTGAAATTGCACTCTAGAACAGGGGCAGTCAATTTTAGCTTACTATTCAGGATCTGATACAAGGTCCAAAGCCTTCATTACATCTTCTAAAAGAGTATCTGGTATAAATCCATTATCTGAAAAGCAAAACAAGATCCTTAATTAGAATGAACTAGCAGAGGTCCAGGCATTAATGTGTTCGCATAGCCTTTTAACACTGGCACTTCTAGACTGGGAAGCAAGTGAGTGTTTTTCTCATATGGAGATGAAGCAGCAGCATTTTCAAGGTGTCCTCGTTGCTACTTCTGCAATACCTCCTCTTTTCTAAAGGTTTTCAAGGCACTGTATTTCTTCCTTCTTACTATGCAACAGAGCCTTACTGCATGAGAATCCTTGGCCTAATACTTTTGAAACATAGGAGGCTGAAATTCTACTAAAGCATAAATAAGCAGGCATGTAGACACTTGTATAACTAAAAACCTAAGCCTTGGAAAAGAGATCATTTTATAAGGAGAAGTCTCGTTTATGGAAATGAGCTACAGAAAGCATGGATATTATCTATTGGATGCTAAAACTCAAGCAGTTTGATAATGTTAGGTAAAACAGATTATAAAAACATATTTGAGTCCTTTTAATTTCGTATCAGCTATGAACTAAGTAGAAAATACCTATTTTTGTCACTTTATATCACAGTGCAGAATATCAAACTTGTCACAAAGTGCAGGAACTGCTAAATTTTATGCCTGATCATTTTCAGATTTCTGATTCCTGTATTTTTACACTTTGTTCCTCTATGTGTAAGAGTTAACTCAATGGGACTTCTTTCCAAGGAAATATGCATATGGTTGCTCTACAGCTATTACCTTCAGGGTCATATGTTTGAAAGACTCTTCTGGCTTGTTCTGAGGGAGCTTCAGGAGCAACAAGAGCCAAATCCTTAAAAAGAAAATTCAGCAAGATTAAGCACATTCTCATTAAAAAAGGAAGTATTTTTACAAATGAACTGTGGCAGCTCCCCCAATTGAATGGAAGTTGAGCAAATGGTTATGCCCCCTAACATTATTACCACCTCCTTTCTCCTGCACACTAATCTTCTACATACTTTTTCCTTACTCCAAAAGACTGAAATGGCCCCACAAGTCTGGGTTATTGACAGTGACAGTTTCAAACTAGAATATGTTGCTACTGTGGTCTTGTCTTCTTTCCCTTGAGATCCACCTCTTTTGCCTTCATGTCGTGATTAGAATGCAATCTCTGAAACTGAATTCAGCCTTTTAGATTAAATAGGTTTAACTCCTACACCTAGGAAATGTGAGCCACACATTCAATTATGTATTACAATGAGAAATTATCACATCTGAAAGCACACTAGAACCAAGACAGCTTAACAGAGATGGAAAAGGTCACACTATTTCAGTGCAATTCTCACATCAAATCATAGCTACAGCTACTTAGCAAGGTTCATCTTCTAAAGAACGCCACAAAAGTTATTAGACCGAAGGAGGCTGGCAGAGGAAGGATGGGGGACTATGCCCCTCCTCCAGCAGGCGTGTATTGTGTTGAAGGAGGGGCTTCCCTTCTCTGGCGGTCCACTTGGGTTTCTGCAGAGCACTCTGTCCTTTCTCCACCAACTTGCTCACAAACCTACATAGAATTACAGTATATCACAGAAGTGAGTACACCCCTCACATTTTGTAAATATTTTATTATATCTTTTCATGTGACAACCCTGAAGAAATGACACTTTGTTACAATGTAAAGTAGTGAGTATACAGCTTGTATAACAGTGTAAATTTGCTGTCCCCTCAAAATAACTCAACACACAGCCATTCATGTCTAAACTGCTGGCAACAAAAGTGAGTACATCCCTAAGTGAAACTGTCCAAATTGGGCATTATTGTCCATTTTCCCTCCCCGGTGTCATATGACTCGTTAGTGTTACAAGGTCTCAGGTGTGAATGTGGAGCAGGTGTGTTAAATTTGGTGTTATTGCTGGTCACTGGAAGTTCAACATAGCACCTCATGGCAAAGAACCCTCTGAGGATCTGAAAAAAAGAATTGTTGCTCTATATAAAGATGGCCTAGGCTATAAGAAGATTGCCAAGACCCTGAAACTGAGCTGCAGCATGGTGGCCAAGACCATACAGCGGTTTAACAGGAGAGGTTCCACTCAGAACAGGCCTCACCATGGTCGACCGAAGAAGTTGAGTGCACGTGCTCAGTGTCATATCCAGAGGTTGGCTTTGGGAAATAGACATATGAGTGCTGCCAGCATTGCTGCAGAAGCTGAAGGGGTGGTAGGTCAGCCTGCCAGTGCTCAGACCATACGCCGCACACTGCATCAAATTGGTCTGCAGGGCTGTCATCCCAAAAGGAAGCCTCTTCTAACGATGATGCACAAGAAAGCCCTCAAACAGTTTGCTGAAGTCAAGCAGACTAAGGACATAGATTAGTGGAACCACGTCCTGTGGTCTGATGAGACCAAGATAAACTTATTTGGTTCAGATGGTGTCAAGCGTGTGTGGCAACAACCAGGTGAGGAGTACAAAGACAAGTGTGTCTTGCCTACAGTCAAGCATGGTGGTGGGAGTGTCATGGTCTGGGGCTGCAGGAGTGCTGCCGGCACTGGGGAGCTACAGTTCATTGAGGGAACCATGAATGCCAACATGTACTGTGACATACTGAAGCAGAGCATGATCCACTCCCTTCGGAGAATGGGCCGCAGGGCAGTATTCCAACATGATAACGACCCCAAACACACCTCCAAGACGACCTCTGCCTTGCTAAAGAAGCTGAGGGTAAAGGTGATGGACTGGCCAAGCATGTCTCCAGACCTAAACCCTATCAAGCATCTGTGGGGCATCCTGAAATGGAAAGTGGAGGAGCGCAAGGTCTCTTACATCCACCAGCTCTGTGATTTGTCATGGAGGAGTGGAAGAGGAATCTAGTGGCAACCTGTGAAGCTCTGGTGAACTCCATGCCCAAGAGGGTTAAGGCAGTGCTGGAAAATAATGGTGGTCACACAAAATATTGACACTTTGGGCCCAATTTGGACACTTTCACTTAGGGGTGTACTCACTTTTGTTGCCAGCGGTTTAGACATTAATGGCTGTGTGTTGAGTTATTTTGAGGGGACAGCAAATTTACACTGTTATACAAGCTGTATACTCACTATTTACATTGTAGCAAAGTGTCATTTCTTCACGGTTGTCACATGAAAAGATATAATAAAATATTTACAAAATGTGAGGGGTGTACTCACTTCTGTGATATACTGTATATGCACTTGTATGCATGTGATTTCTTGTGGCTGGGCTACTCAGCAAATATTTAAATATAAGGCTGTTTTATTGTAATGTCAGCAATCTAACAGCAAAGCAGAATCACAAATTATAATATGGGGTGAGTGATGTTAAGTCAGCTAACATATCATGATTAAGATGGCTCCTCTTCCTCCAGAACTCAATACAGACAGAGCAAAGGTGGGCAATTTTCAAGGCTTGGTAACTTCTACCTTACCCTGTCCCTAACACCACACCATCAAAATTGTGACTTAAATATTGTAGTGCAGCAATGAGGAAAAATGGCCCCTTTTAGAAGAAGTAAAGCCATGGAATTCTGCAGCATGGCAGAAGGACAGGCTAATCTGCTTTAAAACAGTCTTTTTTGGTCACTGCCATGGCACTAAGCGGTGTACTGAACAGACAAGCAGCTCTAACCCTAACTTGTCATGCAAAGTACAATTACTGCATGCAATAATTCATCTTTCTTTTTACATCTAAAATCTGAAGTACATTATGGATGTTTAAACTGGGGAATTTCCCACAATTGTCAATGGAAAGAATTGTGTCCCAAGTGGGTAGTGTCCTCTGCCTATTGTCTTTTTAATCCCTTCTCTGCTGCCTACTTCACGCTCACTGCCTATTTCAGCACTCCCAAACATCAGGCATTAAGAGCTTAACCATTACTATAAAGTTGTACTGTATAACTGTAACATGGCAACTCTTTTTCTGGTCAAGGGATAACACAGCATCATCCTTTCTCTAACCCTAAACTGATCGTGGAAGAAAGAGAGATGAGACACTCTGAAGACTAGGTGGGACTGTGAGAGAAAAGCCTTAATTCTACCTCATCAGGACAAGGAGGCCATCCATTAAAGAGGCTTTTGCCATGGATATACGCAAAGCAGTCCACTTCTATTGCCTGTTCTTATTCAATGTTTGGTCAGCAGAAAATGTCTCCTTTCCCTTCCTACTGTTGCAACCCAATAAAAAAGTATAGGCCTTTATTTTTATAACTCACAAAGAACAAGAAATTCATTCATTTGGGGACACAACACTTATTCATCAAACAATGAAACATCCCAAAAATGTATTTCATCTGCCAAAGCTCCATATTTTTTTTTTTTTTTTTTTTTGCCAAACATAAGCACTCAGGCCTTGCAAATTGTCAGAAAACATCCCAAATGTTCCATAGAAGGAAGTCCCATTTGCAGTTTACCAAATAGTATTTTAAAGTACACTAGGTCATAAAGGCAAAGCAACCACCATGTTTTACTTTTCGAAGCTTGTGATATTCCTACCAAAACCATTTTCTGATTTTTTAAATACCACTGCCTTTGATAATACAAGCTTATTTTAGAACCTCACATTTACCCTTGGAGGCAAACACATACAATACATTCCAAGGACTATTTCTCAACTATTTTCATTCTTAAAAAATAAAAACCAGCACATAGAAGCCTTCTGATAACTTCAGCATTGATAAACATTTGAGATGGGGGGGGTGCAACAGGATTTTTTTTTTTAAAAAAAACTTAAACTATGGTTCTCTAAAAATGTTTCAAAACTGTGGATGGTTGCTCTTACTATACTAGCTAAGAGGCAGTATCTATAGGCGTTTCCTTGTCTTCTAAGATAGTCTCTTAGTGCAGGGAACATTATATTCAAAATTCTTAAAATCCAGCTCGGCACAGGACAAACATGCATCAGATTCCAGAATTCAAGCTTATATGCATTTTAAACTTTTATATTGCACTAGCTACTATAGAGGACACTAGTAATTCCAGAAACTTTTGTGTTTAAAAGCCTAAAAAGTAGGGGTTTATAGTTCACCTCCTTGGCTCACTGTAGTGGTTTCCTCTCACTCCCGAAGAGCAGACCCTTCCGACCATACCTCATGCAAACTGCTTTTGAAACACAGAAACAGAGCAAGTCAGAAGGAGCCTCCCAGGCCATCCGACTCCTGGCTCCAGCCGGCTCCGCTCATGACATGCCTACCATGTACATGACTAAGCCTATCCTTTGGAATTGGGTTATTTCAAAATAGTTTGTTATTATGGCACATGTATTTGTCTGTGCAGATGCATTGGATTACTATAAACCCTTTGTTGCCAGATACTAAGTAGTTCTTTGGTTTCCAACCAAGAAGTCTCTAGATATGAGATCTATCAATTCAGAATGTAGGCTTTTTAGAACATCTTGACAATAACAAAAGACATGACCTAAATAACTGAAGAAATGAAGTTGCCAGTCTGGTCCACCCAGCTAAGCTATTGTCCATTCTATCTGGCAGCAGCTTATTCTGTATTTGAAACTGAGCCATAGATCCTCTCTCAGGTACATTCTAGATATAAGTAAAGTAAGAAGTCTAGAACAAATGGGACAAAAACATGTGAGTGAGTAGTATTCACAGTGAATACACTGCACAAATAAATCCCAATCCAGCAACTTATACAATAGCTGTCACCTGACCGAACACTTATATTTTGCAACTTTCTGTCCAATATAATATAAGGCACTTCTATTATCAACTGTATTAATTGAGCTCAAGTAAGCAATGGCTACTTTAATAGAACTACTTAGATTTTATACTTTAATAACCATGCTTTTGTCTTGACAAGGCAAAGTCACTTTTTAAAACGTGCTTTTTCCTTAGTTATATTCAGATTTCATTTTTAAAGAATTAATATTTCCCTGTTTTCCAAGTGTATTTTTTCTGAAAATGATACAGAATCAATTTTTTCCTTAGATGGCATTCAGGGAATATAATCTCCACCCCTAAACATGTAACACTTAGCATTTATGCAGGACTTCAAAAATTCAAAGTATTTTCTGAATATTTTTGTAATCCTTAATGCCAGGCTTCAAGGTGGAATTGTCTCCACATTGCATATGGAGTGATGGGCTACATGTAAGAGACAGCAGCTTAAAGGCTACAAAGAAACTGATAAGAGCAAAATGAAGAGGAATTTAACAGTATTAATTCAGAGGTGGACAATCCAATCTTAACTAAACCTTTTACATATATTCCCTTAAGAGGTGATTTGCAACATGACAAAGAGCAGGAAAACTCTAACAGTATCCGTGTCTCATCCATAAATATATCAGGACTGGATCCACTTTCTTTATCTAGCATCCTGGGGTGACTGTCACACCCCAGGCTCATATTTTGTTGTGTAATTTACACATAAGAATTCTAAGAAACAAATCATTACAGGACACTGCCAGATCCATGATAGTAAACATTGTTTCAAACTTTTAGCCACCTGTCTTTTACAGTTTTCCTTCTAAACTAAACATACCTGGGGCAAAATACATCCAAACCTGCACAACAACAGGCCACTGGAGTACTTTTGTTACTGCAAACAATGCAAATGTATTGAGGAAAAAATGAAGTTAAATATAGTTTGTCTTAGTCTGTTTTGTGTGCCAGGTAGAGAAGCAAATCCCTCACAAAAATTGAAAATCACTGGAGTATTTTTTATGCTCAGTGGAGGCTGAAAGGGAAAAGCATTATTATATTGATAGGCACAGGAAAGATTCAGACTGAAGTACAAAAATAACATTCAAAACAGTTAATGTTAACTTTAATCCTGCATCAAAAAAATGCTAAGAATATGTGGCATAACTAAGTCAGAAAAAAGTTTAATCTGATAATATTTTGCTTGATTTGTAACCTGAGATTAATTTCTGAGACACATATTGTGCCATATCCAGTGCAAAAAAAGCTAGGGGAAATATCCAAAATTACTGAATTTGTCCATTACATCTTCATTTAGGTCTAAATTTTCAGAATGTTCTTAGCATACCCTCTTTGTCTAAAACTGCTGAATTAAGGGAAAGTCACAAGTATTATTGCACAAGACGACAATAAAGAGAATGTAAAAATACTTTCTTACCACATTAGAAATAAGTATGAAATGGATTTGCAAGCATATTAATTGCAATCACATGAATGAAACTGGATGCTGCATACAAGATTCTAAACAAAGAAGGTGGGCAATTAACAGTGGACACATGCATTCCTGTTTGTATGATGATCAAATACCTACCAGAAGACAAACAGATTTCAGCAGTGTTTTGTCAGGTGTCCACAAAGTTTTCACATTTCTATTTCTTAAAAAAAGTTATAATGCATTATTATCCTGCTCTTCGGCTGAAAGAGGCTCCCATCCATTGAGAGGCCTTAAAGTCAGGTGGAAAGTGCACAACACACTACTCAAATCCAAATGAACTTCTAAAGTCTGATGCTTTGTTTCAAACTCAAATAATATAGATTCAAAAAGCCTCATCTGATCTTTGCTACCAGTTGCAGTTAGGCAGTAGCTCCCAGGAACTGGGGTGGAGGTTAAGGAGAAATGTATGACAACTGGCATAAACTTACACAGAGTTCTTTGATCGTGGCTACAGAATTATGCATCTGCAGGAACTAGAAGATATCATCACATCCATTCTCAAGCAGTACAGTCTAAACAAGGTTATACCACATTGTTTTTTTTTCCATTTCAGTAGATCAACCCTTGTTTAAGCTCATAGATTCTACATAATATTTAGTCACTGCTAATTCATATGTAACACATTTCATTCTAGGTTTTGAATTATGGAAGTATCTAACCTCACAAATAAGGCCTATTTTAAAACTGTAGTCATTTATTGATTTATTTTTTTTTAAAGTTTATGATAAGAAGTTTGCAAAGCACTAGATAATATCACAAATGAATACCTTCTTAAGTTAGGCATAAAACAAATCATGTATAGAATCATTACTGATGATAAACGCATGGAATTTTATGTGTTCTAAATCCTTAGGTTCCACTGTTGCTGTGAGCATAGAACCGTGTTAGAAAAATAAGAGGATATAATCTGAAGACAGAATATTTATAAAATATCATTTCCCACACTTTAAAAATATTTGTATTTCAAACACATATCCACACCTACATAAAAGGCAAAACATTTTGCTGCTATGCTGTTTTTAACTGCTAAAATATTGAAGGAAAACAGATGGAGGATAGATTTTCATTTTAATCCAAAAGGAAATAATTTGTTCTACAACCTAAGGGTATATACAATTACACTGCCATGGTTTACATTCATTCATGAACAGCGACCCTTCAGCCCACCATATTTACAGCCTACACACTGGCAAAGTTAATTGGAAAAGAACATTATGAGTGCTGCAATAAGTAAAGCAAAAGCCGTGTTGCTTGCTGACCTAATTCTCTTTTGCAGGAAGTGCAACTTAATAAATGATATTGGAGTTTAGAGGCAGACTCAGAAACACAAACTGCCATGTTACAGTTAATTACAGAGTCCCATGTGCTTATAACAATGTTCTTAGATTTGCTAGCAAGGCCTGGAAATGCCACATCCATTCTTGGTGACTACAAGTGTGTGAAATCTGCACCACTGAAAATAATCCCTGAAGCAACACGAGCCAATTCCTTCTTGCTTAGAGTTCGCTTTTAGAAATGTCTAGTGTCCTTGTTCCCCAGCCACCTAGTTTTCCATGCTTTCTGCCTATTCATGCTCACTTCTAAGTCTACCCGAATCCTGCAGTTTCATACTCATCTAGATGTTGGTTGTGATGGATACAGCTGAACTGATTTCAGTCCAGGCAAGTTTTAAATAATGCTGAGCAATATATACAGGAGACAAATTCAGCACCTACCACTCATCCAAGACCAATGAAATACAGATATCAGCAGGCCTCTCATTTTGATTTACATTACTTGAACCAGTTGAAAAAAAATCCCACTGTTTCAACTGCTTGCATACTTGAGAACTCATGGATTACCATGCTTATGCATAACTTTGCACAAGTATCCGTGTATGGGAATGGTTTTATTCAAGGAGAAATATAAAGTTCTTTGGGATTTGATACCTAGCCACACAGAGGAACAAGCCCCTGAAGATGAGTTTTGAGATGCTTACTGCTATAGTAGCCAGTTGTTTCACAGAATTTTTTTTAGAATTCCAGTACTTTTAAAGGAATATCTTTTGTACAACTTGCAGTGCTAATAACATACTTTAAAACCTTCAGTATCATTTCATTTAAAACTACTCTACCAAAGATTCAACCATAAGACTTTAATATTTGGCCTAGGGTGCAGAAATAAAAAGAAAGGAATCTACCTTGGCAAAGAAGACTGTGAGATGAGTTTCACTGCCAAGAATCCAAATAGGGAACTTTGGGGATTTCAAATAGGAGCCAACCTAAAAAGAAAAACCAATAAAGTACCCAGGAAAATCATAAAGGAGCACAATGTGAACTGCTCTAAAATGCCAAGGTTTAAGTAGAGCTCAGAGTAGTCTGCATCAAATATTCAGGTGTGTGTGTGTAGTTAGCTTTCTAGCATATTTTGCATTCCAGAAGTCAGGTTATATTTGCATACACATGCGTTCTTATGTGTGGGGAGAGCAGTCTGAAAGGAACAATGAAGGACTGGGGACGGTTAGCTACACAAGACTCCAAAACTTTATGCTCCAGGCACTGGATGCTTTGTTTGCATCCTTTCAGTTTTATGAGACATCATAGCACACAGTTGCAATTTCTCCACAATTGTAATTTGGCCACCTCAGTGATATAAACACTTCTTTTAAAGAAGAAAACCAGGATGGAAGAAATGATGGAAGAAAACCAGGGTCATGACCTTGGAATGAAGGTCATGCTTTCAATGCCAACCACAAAGACAAGCAACTCAGAACTCCAAGAATCTACTAGCCATAGTTGCTAAGAGTAGGGTTCAAAAATTATTGTTTTTCCAAATGATAAAATAAAGTGTGCATCTGTGATAAATGGGTCTAATATGTGCATATTTATCATCTTACATGATATTTCTAAGAAGATGTTACTTCTTAGAGTAGGTTGGTTCAGTGTTTGAATGTTGGTGGAGAGTTAAAAGGGTATAGAGAAAATGCTTTTTCAGCTAAAGGAGACAATAAAATGATGTTCTGGGCTAAAGCAACAGAAATTCCCACCCTTTAAGATGCCTTACTCACTGCAAACCAAGCTGTACTACTTGTTCTCTACAGTAGTCCCTACAAATTACCATGGAATACCGTAGCCAACCGCTGTATTCGTAAAATGAGGCATTCTTCAGGTAGTATCACAGATCTTACAGACACAGTAATGTATGTGTTTTGCAGTAAACACTGAATCAGATCAAGATACCTTGAGACAAAAGCTACAAAGGCAGCTTTGTTCAATGACATATTTCTAAAGTTACATTTCCATTCAATGAGGTATTTCTCTTGATCTTCTCATCATAGACAAAGACAGACAGAGTAACACAGCTGACCAAGCTTGAAATAAATACTAAAATAAATTAAGCAGTGCCCACTCTTTAGAATACGCTCTTGTATCCAGTTTGAGAGGCAAAGAATAAGGTATATTTCAAATGCCCTTTTGTAATTAACCATGAAGTTGCTCTAATATCTCTGTCTTAACTCTTCAGCAGTGCAAAGAGTGGCCCAAATACAATGTCTTCATAGCAATTTATTCCTTGAGTCAAACATCTTCCAGAGTTTTACATGAGGAACTTTTAAAAGCCTACCTTACAGTATCTGAGAGATTCCATTAGTGTCAGAAAACCAACAGTTGTTTGTTTGTGTATTCCAAGAAGTTCTGAAGAAAACAAAATTATATCAGACTGTAAGTCTCATTCATACTCCTTTCTATTACTTAACATGCCTTGACATTTTGGTCTACAACTCAAGTGACAAGGAAAGTACAAAACGTAGAAGAATAGTATGGTTGAAATAAATCATCCTTTTAGCCAGATCCAGTGGTGATCAGCCATTGGATACTATCCAATATGGAAGCTCTGCAAACCTGTTCCCTTTTAGATATGAATTGTTTGTGCATTCATGTTGGAGGCTTTCCCTCAAAAGCTCTAAATGACCATTACGCAAGCAGCAGTGGCCACCTGCACAGTAGAAGAGGCAAGGTTGGCTGCCTGTGGAAGTGGTGTAGGGCTCTATGAGTGATTGGGTGGGTTGGAAAGTGCCCAATGAGAAAACCAAATATAACATGAAACAGTATTTCTTCCTTTGTTAATAAGCTTTTTTTTTACAAAGACAAATGTAGGCAAATACACAATGAATTCAGAAACAATGTTGAAAAGCTAAAAGGCTTTCTTAACGGCTTTTTTCTTTCCATATTCAATTTGTGCACTGCACAGAAAATACACAGGTAAAATGAGCTGCTAATTTTTGTCAAAAGATGTACTGTAAAAGTAACCTTCTGAAGAAAAATGAACATGCAGACTTGGTGCAAATTCTTATAAACAACTCAGGAACCTGCTGGTAACATACTGAAGAGCTGCTAAAAATCTGTGCACTTAACCCTAGGCAAACTCCTCAGCAATATTTGTAAACATACCAACCACATGAGTTGCTAGGCTATTTATTTAGATTCTACAAAGGAGAGGCAAGTAATACCTCAAGAAAGGAGCCAGATATGTAGCCTGGATGTGGAAAAAACCTAATGGCACATAGGACTATCAAAGGTTGTTAGTGCTATCAATCAAAAGAAATTGTGCAGCTATTCCATCTTTTCTTAAAGTATGGACAGAAAAACCGGAGGGAAAACACAGGAAGGTTACAAAAGGAAAATGAGGCAGTGTGATTGTACAATAAAAGAAACTTAGGAGCAGTCTAAAAAAAAACTTCAAGGATTAACTGTAGAAACTCGAGCAGAGGACCCAAATGGTACATGTGGCTACTTCATCACTAGCAAGACATTCCAAGACAGAGCCAAAGTTTTCAAACTTTAGTCAATGTTATCTTGAAGCAGCAGAGATAAGATACTGCTACTTAGGTGTGTTCCAGCCAAAGACAGTTTACCTCTGCATCTAGGACAGTGGTGGCAAACCTATGGCATGCATGCCACAGCAGGGACACAGTGTCCTCTCTGTTGGCACGTGAGCGAAGTTGCCCCAGCAGCCGATAATTGGATAACAGCACACACAGGGGTCATGCACATGCTCAGAAAGGAGAAGTGGCACCAGGCGATGATGTCACGAGCTGCAACTCATTAGCGGCGACTCGTCCGAGCTTTCGCATGGCCGGTCAGTGCACTGCCAAGGATATGTATATATTTGGACTGGCTGTGAGTTGTTTATTCTAAACTAAAATCTCAGTTTTCAGGTTTGATTGCAGTGTTGGCACTTTGCGATAAATAAGTGGATTTTGGGTTGCAGTTTTGACACTCAGTCTCTAAAAGGTTCACCATCACTGAGGTTAGGGCTAGAAAAACAAGGTGCCCTGGTATGATTTTGATGGTTGGAATGTGTTTAGAATGGGCAGAAATGATGAGCAGTGCAGAAAAAGCTACTCAAGGAAGGCTTTTTCAAAATTGCCCTCTCTTCAATGGAACTTTAGCCCTGTATTAGAGTTAGGGGTGTGCACCAGGGCAGGGTTAGAAAAATGAGGTGTCCTGGCATGATTTTGATGGTTGGAATGTGTTTAGAATGGGCAGAAATGATGAGCAGTGCAGAAAAAGCTACTCAAGGAAGGCTTTTTCAAACTCGCCACTGAACTGGGTGTGAGTTGTTTTTTCCCAAACTTAAACCTCAGTATTCAGGTTTGATTGCAGTTTTGGCACTTTGCGATAAATAAGTGGATTTTGGGTTGCAGTTTTGACACTCAGTCTCTAAAAGGTTCACCATCACTGAGGTTAGGGCTAGAAAAACAAGGTGCCCTGGTATGATTTTGATGGTTGGAATGTGTTTAGAATGGGCAGAAATGATGAGCAGTACAGAAAAAGCTACTCAAGGAAGGCTTTTTCAAACTCGCCATTGAACTGGGTGTGAGTTGTTTTTTCCCAAACTTAAACCTCAGTATTCAGGTTTGATTGCAGTTTTGGCATTTTGTGATAGATAAGTGGATTTTGGGTTGCCGTTTGGGCATGGTCAGTCTCTAAAAGATTTGCCATCACTCATCTAGGAGGTATGTATTACAAATCAGTAAAATGAACTAAGGAATTTGTCAGCTGCATCCTGGCTTCACACTATGGTTAAACCATCTGTGAGCCCACTTCTGGAGTACTCCATTGCCTGTTCTGCTGACTGTCTTGTTTCAGTTTGTAGTTTAGGGGTAAACTATGTAACCCCATAGTCATTGTCTTTAAAATAATGAAAAGCTGGTGACATGAGCCTGAAACACTGCAAGAGAATAATTTTGGGAAGGGACCAATCAGCAGCAGGTAAGCAGTTTGACAGAGAAAAGATTAGCCAGGCCCCTTATAGTGCCCTTCAGCTGTTTCTCACTTTCAGGAAGAGGCCAGCAGAGCTTCCTTACATATATGTGTATGCAGCATGCAAGTTGTCTCTAAGCCACTTTCCCCCCTAGAAATACATTACTGTGCTGTGTCTGATGGAAACATCCTTAAAGGAGCCAATATCCATGTTATACAAATTACACCCACCCAGTTGTTACCTAGGATCCTTTCCCAAAAACAAAAGCAAGTTAGGTTGTTACATTTTCAAGTTTCCTAATCATAAGCTACTCTTTCACTAGCAACCAATTGCTATATATGGTAACGTATGAAGCATAAACACTTGTTGGGAGGAAATATGTTTAAAAAATGGAAATGTGGATTAGATTAGTGAACAGTTTGCATGTCCTTATTTTGCATTCTGATAAGGGCATAAACTTAGATCCAAATACAGATATGTTAGGTTTCTTGTGCATGAATTGGCACAATAGTTTGGTAGCATTAAACCACCAACAACCTTATTTCAAAATACTTATCAATGGGATGTAAACACATTTTATACATTAATATGTAAATTGCGAAAGGACTTTTGTCACTGTGCGATAGATTTGGAGGAACAGCCCCAGCCCCACTAAAATCCTCAAGTTTTCTTCTTTAGGGCCTACTGCCATCTTGTGGTAACTAAAATAAGTTTATTTATCTATAGACTTAATAAACTCTTCCTTCAACAAGAAACAATTTCAAGGTGGTACACATAAAAGCCTGAAATCTCCAATACAATTAAATATAAACCAATGGGCAATGATGCAATACAAATGAGAAGAATGGTATTCAAATAGATGATAATATATTTAAAATACCTTAACTTATGAAGATTATAACCTGGAACTGAAAAAAAATAACAGCAACAGGAATATCTCCCTTGGGAGGATATTTCAGGGCATCACCACCCCAGAGGCGGCTTTCTCTTTTGGACATGCATAATGCACCTTTCCTACAGATGGAACATGAAGAAGAGCCCTGAACTAATTTTAAAAGATGTCATGGTATTTATTGCATTTTGATGCTACTCTGCCATCACCCTTTGGTTTAAATTAATTGAGATTATTGTGGGGTTTTTCTGTATTTTTCTATGCTTTTATTGTTGCTATTTTACTGTGGTAGTGTATTTATTTATTTTTCTATTTCTATCCTGCCTTTTTCCTACAAAGGGCTCAAGGCAGCTTACATCATTCTCCCCCTCCATCTTATCCCCACAACAACCACCCTGTGAGGTAGGTTGGGCTGAGAGTCTGTGACTGGCCCAAAGTCACCCAGTTGGCTCCATGGCTGAGTGGGGACTAGAACCCAGATCGTCTGAGTCCCAGTCCCATGCTGTTAACCACTACACCACACTGGCTCTCCCAACTTAATATTATTCATTTTATTGTATATGTAGTTATTATATTATATATTTTGTAACCCACTCAGAGAGTCATCTTGGCTAATGGGTGGGACAGCAATTTAATAAATAATTAAATGACAACAACAACAAGTTTGAAATAAATTGTACTGATAAGCAAATACAGTATGCTGGCAATAAGCATAAAGAGACGTACAAGCATTCCTATAAAGCCAAACATTTCGCTTGTATACCATAACTTTGCAATGGTATACAATGGTAACTTTGTATACCATTTGAACTTAAAACAAAGACAAACAAAGTATTTTGTATACAAACACTTCATGTCACATTATAACAAGACAAATCAAATATAAACTTACTCATTCCTGAGCATTCTCTGTCTCCATCCCAGACATTAGATACTGCATGCCCAGTCAACAGGAGATTAATTAAGCTTTGGCTTAATAGGAAGAAAACACAATTTTAAATATGCAAATAAATTATGCTTTCTTTTTTTGTAGGAAAAGCATTCATGTGATACTATGATTAGGTTACTGAAATGTATTTTAGGCACAGTACACTGAACACAATTTGATACAATCCAACCTATGCAGCAACTGCAAGGAGCCTCCCAATGAGATGATAAAGATACATCAAGTAATATTAATCAATTTCTTTACATTTAATAACTGCAAGATATGTATTTCTAAAGTACCATTTGTTCAGAGCCAAGTACTTCAGAGAAAGCATAAGGCCAACAAGAGCTTACCTTCCATGACCATAAACAGGATCTATCAGTGGTTCAGTTGAATCTTCAATTTCATTTTTAATATTCTCAATGCCCTAAAATAGCAATATTTTCTGGTAAGTTTATTGGGAAACTGACCACACATTCTGGCGAAGAAATAATTTTTACCCATTACCATGCCCTCCACTTATACTAATTTATTTCAATAAAATAATTTAATTGCCAATAACAAAGTGTGTCCTATATTCACTCTTCCCATGGTGAAAAGCAAATGATCATTTACCAGTATTAAAAGTCTGAACACAGACTACTGAAAATAAATGTAAAATTAAACTGACCTGTGGGAAATGTAAAAGGCTAAGTTGACAGAGAGCAGCTGGATTTACACCTTTCATTGCTTCAAGCAAAAACATGTGGCCATGTGGATGAGTCAGAAAAAACAGGCCTTTTTGTTTCCCCCTTCCACCCCACACTGAAAAATCCCATAGGGAAGTATCACCTTTCTAGTAATTTAACAGAACTATTAGAATTTTTTTCAAGAATAAACTTATTTTCCTCCATCTTCTTGCTTGTAGGATTGAGAAAGCTCTGGTGAAAAAATGAACAACATTTTTACATGCTAAATAGCGGTAACCATACAGCCAGATTGGCAAAGTAAAAACCAATCTTTAAACTTTGGTTTTTCACTTCCAAAATAGTCATTTCTATGTGGAGTCATGTGGGGACAGAATCTAACAGAGGTTTAAACTCACAGTGTAGCAAAAGAAATGTTTTAACGTATTGTACACTGCCCAGAGAACTTCAGTTATTGTGTGACTTAAAGAACAGTAAAATAAATAACTTGGTGCTTGCATCCAATGGCAAGAGAAGTGTGGTGGCAACCTCTGCTGTGGCCGCCATGCATTACACCCTGATTTTCTCTAGGCAGCTGTCCTTTGCCATCTAGATTTAGCACCAAGGAACGGGAGGGAAAGAGACTGGGATGCTAATTGGAACTGGTATAGCTCCATAGTTCCAGCTTTCTCACCTCCCCTCAGCATGTCCCTTTCACCTCCTCCAAGGCCCATTTGGGACCTGGGGTGAATGGAGCCAGAGCATTTCCTTCTCTTTCAGCTGTTGTGGGAGAGTGGAAGGCAAAGCTTTAGAGTTCCAGATGTAAGACTGTAGGTTGTAAGAATACTATAGCCCCCTAGAAAATGCCAGAGGCCTCAGAACTTCAATCTTAGAAGCCTAACTGCTACAAATTTACCAAGTCATTTTACAGATTCCAGTTTGTTCTTTCATTCATCTTATGCTTCCCAAATCTTGTTCACAACTGGTTTAAGTAAACATACTTTAAGAAATACACACCTTGGTCAGTATCACAGAATACAGAAAAAGCAACACGCCAAATTTGTTTGTCCAGATTGAATAGTGATTCCAAACGGCATCCTTAAAATCAGGAAGACTTGTGAATGATTGCTTGCTGAAGATTAAAAAGAAAAGACAATTAGACATTGCACCGGAATTTGACAGTGATTGCAGTAATTTTGTATTTGAAAACTAAGAACAGCATGCATAGTAATATAAGATGTTACTGCATGCTGCAGGCTTCAGGACTTGGTGGTTATTATTACATTTTGAACACAATTAGCAGCCCTTCTCTACTGGAGAAAAACAATGGTTACAAGAAGTACAAAATATTACAGTTTCACTATGGCAGCGTGGGTCAGAATTTTAGAAGCCTGACTGAAATTTCTCACCTGAAGGGATTTTACTTGGAAAACTGGTATTTCTTTTAAACCACTACCACATTTCAGTAAATTTAAGCCTAAATATTGTTTTCAGTGAAAAAGACATGCTGTTACAGCATCTCCTCTGATAAAATATAATCAATTTTACAATTAGTTTTGAATAAAGATTATCAAGCCTATTGACTGATTAAAAACTGTTGGCACAGAAGGCTGCTCAGTTCCTACTGTGCTTATATGATGTCCCCTTCCATCACCACCCAGCATGTTTAATTATAGTGTAAAGTTCCGGTGCCCCATCCCTACTGGTACTGAGACTTGTCACTCAGAAGTTTCTCACATCAGAGACTGGTTAGTAGGGGAGATGGTAAAGTAAACCTTAGCCTCAATGTGGGCATCCTTGGTTGCTAGGTGTGTGTCTGGGTATTTCCCAATCCTTAACTAGCTCTTCAGCATCTGGAAAGAGTGATTCAAGTTCAGAAATATTTCCACATAAATGCTTGCTAACATTTATTAATATATATGTTCCAGAGGACAGTTTTATATTCAGGACCACCTTAGATGCTCCACTATAAAACAACTCTAAGCTGATGCTGAAACAAAAACAAAAACCCCCCTCCTGCATTAAGGCTTCCACAAAATCAAGTTACAAGTTGTCACATTTGTTTTTGATATTTAAATACCAAATAATCTGCTTGAGCCTATTTATAGGTTAGTTTTAACCTTGCTGTTCAGTCACATGAAGATGAACAGTATTAGGCTAATACCTTAAATAAATGTTGTTCATTGGGACTACAAGATAGTGTATTTTAAGTGTTCCAACATGTTACTTACTGAATTAATGCATGAAATCGCTCAAAGCCAAGCTCTTCGACAGCCAAGGCAGCTATACACAAGAGACACTTTTCAGCACTACACATGGCAAAAAGTGACACAAGAAACACACAGCAAGCTAGAATACTTTCAAGCCTTTCATAATTTAACTCCAGCCCCCACTATCTTATGGACCAGCTTCCACTTCCACAGTTACATGGTACAAGCCAATTTAATGAAACCTATCTAGGTCTCTCTCATATAAGTGACTGAATGCAAAAGCAATTAGACTCAATGGCCAGGTTTGCACAACACGTAATTTTTCAAGTTGTGGGTAATCATGAATGGAGAAGCCTGCTGGTGCTTCCATGTGCAAAACTAGGAGCTCTAACATGTATCTCTCCCTGTCACATGACAGGGAGAGAGACTGCTTGAAAGGGACAAGCCACAGTTCCTGGTTCATGCATGATGCTAAATAAATCATGGCTAGAAGGTCCATGGTTTGTTTAGCTGATTTTGAATTTTCATGATCAAGGTGGCCTTGATCATAACAACTCTTTATTTTTTTTAAAGTATTAGTGTAATGTGCAAACCAAACCATCATTGCCAAGCCTAGCAAACTGTTAAAAGTTCAATAGTCTTGAAAACTTCCAGGATCTGTTTTGCATGAATTGTGACAACCACAGCAGAGAGATCACCAAGCGCAAGCATACTGAACACACTGCTGTCAATTTTCTAAGGGACAAATGAGCACAGTTATCTGGATTTCAAAGCAGAACTAGTGTAAGAAAGCTGTATTTTCAATCCACTTCTCTCAACACGTTTTTGTGCAAAACAATGAACTAGAAGCATGTACATTTTAAGCAATGCTTTCTATTTCAAACTATCTGACTCAAGTGTGTGTTAGATAACCCAACAGTAGAAAAAATACAGCATTTAGTGCTTTCCCAGGTTCAGATTTTCTATCACATTTTCCTCATATTTTGAAAGAAACATTCCTCACTCCTGACTGATGCCTGGTCAGTCACTATTGTACTAACAGGATATGAGTTAGGATAACTATTGCACTGAGAATAAGGAATTTAACATTTAGTTCTCCATAAAAATTTATTGCATCAAACAACTGAGTTAAATGTCCAAGAAATCAGTGAAATCCTACTTTAGTAAGTAGAATTCCAACTCTGACTACCGGGGGGTGGGGGGGATAAGTGCAGCTTCTGCAATTCAAATTCCATGACAAGAACACCTTAAAACCAGCCTAATTTTATTTAATCTTTGGTGGAAAAAAAACTCTGTACTAATTCAACTGAAATTGTACTTATTAAAAACACAGACTGGGGAGGTTAAATATTACATGAAGCTATAACAGATGCTTATTTTGGAACAGTGACTAGACACTGACCATAGGCCTTAATGAAAAGTGCTCTAAAGAACATGTGCCCACTGCATCCAATAACATTTCCAAAAATACAAGCAAAATAGGCTGAGGGAACAATGATATGAAGAGGTCTCTGAACCTGTGAACTTGCACTATTACAGTTAATGAATGGCAAACAAGTCATAGGTGTGCACACCATAAAGCAGATGAAACAAGTACACTTTGCACTGGCAATCTGTGGACCAGTTATTGTTGCCAATTCCACATTGCTGAACTGAGTGGAATGGCAGGAACAATATCTTAAGAGATGAAATATGGAGTGGAACACCAATACTACTGAAATAAGAGTCTTGTGTGAAACAGAAGTTAACAGTAGGTGACAGTAGCCTGGTTCATTAGTACAAAAAAGAAATGAGTACAAAGTCAGATTTGCATAAAGAACAAGCTTTACCAACTCTTAACATTTGGTTTTGCAGTACCAACAGAGAACATGGACATATTTTATAGAGTATGCACTCCTAGAATAAGAAACACAATTACATTTGTTTACATCATAAAGAATAATCACTGGCTTTCCAGCATATCCCTTTTGTTATTTCTGTCCTTTTGGGGAAGGAGGAAAAAACCACAAGTTATACAACTGATATAAAAATATTACCCCTTGTCATGAGCTATTAACCATGGGAGCCTCTCTTTGTATTGATTTGAGTCATATGAATTGGGAAGGCAAAGGCTGCTTCTTTCTGGCCCATATACCTCATGAAGAATTTGCCAGATTGTTTTAAGGAGTACCAAACTTTTGAAGGACACTGGGGCAATGTTGAGGGATGTCATCAGTAGGGAACAATTAGAAATTCCAGTGTGGAATACTTCATGTCATTATTCAGTTTATCTCAATTTAAATCCCTACTTTACTCAATTTAATGCCAATTATATTGCTTTTTTGAGATTCTATTTGTGTGACTAGAATCTCTCTCTTTGTATATATTTACAACTACATGTCACAGAAGTATTGCAGTGTAGCTGTCAGCCATTTTGAAAATATAGAAGCCCCTTTATATATGAAGAGGTTCCATGTTTGAAAGGGGAAGGAGGTTCACACAGTTCAACCCGTCTCCAATATCATGAGCATCCCTGCCCTGAACCTATACACTGGCTATCAGAAGATATCCAGAAAACGATGGGAAAACATTTTCCCATGGGAAAACGATATGTTTAAACAGTTAAAGGGAGGGGGGGTATATGCGTACTGAAATATAAAATACACGTTTTCTCACTTGCTCATTTTTTTCAAAGTTTGCATAAATGCTGGTCAAGCAGTAATTGCTGTTACTTCAATTCTGCCAAATACAACAGTATTTACAATGTTGGGGAAGTGGCAGGTGCAGTTCATTTCAAGAGCATTTTGAGTGTGGAGTCCCAACTCCGATGTCAGAGCTCTTTTCTGACATCAGAGTGGGGACTCTGAAAAACGCTATGGCCCTGTAGAAGCTAACAGGATTGCTCTGCCTGTATCTCAACACAGATGATACTCTTAGAATAAGTATCATTAGTATTTGTTGTTACAACCAATAACTACCCACAAAATAGAAGTACATTATTTAATATATGGTATTAACACTAGGATGCAATGTTCCAAGACAAGATGCCTTATATAGCTCCATCATAACAACTTACATAGAATGATGTACTAACATTAACAGACATTTCATGCAAGAGTCTGGTATATTAATTCTGGCTAGAAAAAATCTTATATAATGGTCACTCTCTGAAGTAACAATATTCCAGCACTATATGTAACAGAAATTGCTTATCTGCCATTCTAAAAACTCAGGCTTTTCAGAGGTACTTAGACCTGACAGAGACTGCATGTGCATGTTACCATTATTTATTAGCTATGTGGTCATTCCACTGCAGCCTAAATTAAGGTAGAAAAGTACAAATCATGATGTGCCAGGATAATGTGGTCAGCACACATGCATACTAGTAACAGTATGATGAATATGGCTTTTTTACCATAAATTACCCACAATGGTACTTTTCTAAAAGGTCACTGCAGTTTCTCAGGATTCAGGTATCAGAAATATGTGCAAGTCAATAATATTTTGGTCAGCACTGATGTGTTAATAAAGTGTATGTGTAAGATTTTTTTTAATTTTTTCATTGTATTTGTAGATATAAATTAAAATAGGATCTGCTTATTTCAAGGCAAACATTCTGAAAAGGTTATCAGATTAACACTAATTACAGTAAAGGATCATTGACAAATCCCTCCCTACTCATTGCCAATCTGTATGACTGAAGGGAAAGATGGAACAAAAGTTGATGAAATGTAACTCCTATAAATTATAGACACCACAAAAACAATTCAATAAAATCAATTGCCTTCCTCTATCTTCAGTGCAAGTGGGGTGAGAAGCAGTTTTTGCTGATTCACTCCTTCCTCTCAAGCGTCCTGGATCATTATTGATCGTTTATAAACCTCTAGAGAAGATTTATGTAGGAGTGCATGGGAAGATAATGAATCTAATTTCTCCTGTCCTGCTGCCGGAAGTGTCTTGTGAGTGATCTATTCAAGGAATGCTTCCACCAATGGAAGTAAACTCAGAATTCTCACCTATGAATTTTATCAAAATTAAAAGATATTAATTTACAAAATAAACACTTCTGAATTTTCATGGTATTCTTATTCCATTGCATTTCTATCCCACCTATAGATCAATTATAGCATACACCATCTAGAAGAGGAATTCTATCATGCACAAGAAGTAGCAGTAGAGGGAGAGAGATCCAGGAAGCAGGGGAATCCCTCTTTCAAGTTCATGCTTGATACCTTCAACTTGCGCAATGTCTTTTAACCCATTTTTCTTCAATAAAGCTGCCCAAATCATTGCTCAATCAAAAGGTTTCAATCCAACCACCGCATCCCTAATATTTGGTTCCTTGATACCATATACTGAGTTGCAACAGTTGATTTAAGAATGCTTATCGACTATTTAGATCCAGGGGATTTCAAAATCAGTGGGTAATGGTGTCTAACTTTTTTAAATACCAGAATAAATGAAGTGGGATAGAAGACAAGGTTATCTGCAATACATTAAAATTACAGAATAAATAATGTTACAAAAATGCAAAGCATTGCTTGGAATTGTGTTTATGCAAGACATATCTTACAGGGCTGCTCCTCTTGGTGGCTTGACTCAGCAGGGGTCTCAGAAATACTAGAAGTTTCTTCAGCAGCTTTTCCTCTTTGCCATGTTGCCAAGCAGTATGATTCTGAATGATCAGAGCAAGCCAGTTCCAGAATATCACTTAAGGTATGACAAAGGAGATTCTTCTGCTCTTCCTCTGAAATATTCAAAGCCAGAACAAGTGAAATTTTTGACAGGGCACTAAACATCGAGCAATATTTATTATTTCATCTAACTTAGGGTTTTTGCTTAATAAACATAATAACTTTAAGTCACCTTAATAAGACTGGCAACCAACAGTTTCTGAGACAAACCCATGGCTACCTATCACTTCAATTGTCAGTCCAAAGTCTTTAGACGATTCATGTATTGAGGGAAGGAAGAAGACAAGTAAGCATAAGGAGATAACTTCCTCATCTTGGCTCACTCTCTCTTTCAGTTATGTAACTCTCACTAGCCTGTTTTAGACATCATCCATGGTGTATAGCTACAGCAAACCTGGACAATATGCGGGCTCCTGCATTCTCTTCTCCTCTTCTAGTGATTAGGAGATAGAAGCATCTATCCTTTGATTTAAACTAACAGCAGTCTATCATGTCTACACAGGTCCAAATTGTGGTTAGTTTAAATTATGGTCTACTGAAACAAGCCAAGTTCAAACCTCAGTTTATAATCTTGACTTCTTTCAACGAACAATAGTTTAAACTAGTCAGTTTGGTTTGGACTGAATGCAATAATGTAGTTAGCTTAAACCAGGAAGTAGGTTTCTTTTTTTTTTTTTTGGGCTGAGGAGGAGGGGGATGGTGGCAGCATTTGAGCTGTCTTGTTCACATAGATGAGGATGAGGATGATGATTGCATTGTTTCCCATGACAAAAAACTGTCTCTAGACAACTTAGATACATAATACTGAACTTCATTAATAAAAATCATATAAACAATTAAAAACACTGCACAATAAAAACACTCTATAACTTAATCTGAAAGTGTATAACTTGTTCATCCACAAATCTACATCTCTTCCTTACAGCCTAGAAGACAACCACAAAAGTGACGACCACAAATTCAGTCATAAGTAATAAGTAATGTCCAAAAGCCTGCTGCAAAAAAGATAGAAACAGAGCGAATCAGAAGGGGTCTCCTGGGCCATCTAGTCTGACCCCTCCAGCTCTAGCCAGGGGAGTCAGACTATAATGTAGGGTCAGACTAGAATGTAAGTGCCAAACAAGCTTCCTGGGAGGAAGCATTTGATATGGAAACAGTGTGTTCTTAAACTGACACCCCACCCATAGCTTCTCTTTGAGGGGCACACTAAAAAAGTCTTAGTTACTGTGTAGGTCCATACAGGGAGATCCCTGAGATACCACCATTCCAAGCCATGTAGGGTTTACAGGTTAAAAGCAGAACTCTGAATTTGGTCTAGAAACAAACTGGCAACCAGTGCAAATAAGCCAGAATTGGGTTTCTGTGTTCTCACTGCCTGATCAACAGCTTGGCTGCAGAATTCTGTGCTACCTGTGGTTTATAATCTATCTTCACATGTAGCCCAACATACAGTGCATTGCTGTCATCTAAACCGAAGGTTACCGCTGCACAACTATTAATGTTAGGCTATTCTCATCCAGATAGGGCTGCAGCTGGTCTATCAACCTGAAGCTAGGCTGCTCTCTTCACTCATACTCCCATTTCTGACAAAAGGAATGGGACAGCAGAATAATAATTTGAGTTTAAAAAAAGGATCAAGGGAGGCATGATGTGGAAAGGAAATATGCCTGTAGATTCCAGTAATTCAGTTTGAGAAATTTGTCTTAATATATTAACATTAAATATGTACAATGTATATTGCAGGTTTGTTTACAATGCCACATACAAGTTCATTCAACCTTAGACACAGTATTGTTTGTGTTTATCAGGTGAAAAGTATGGCAGATCCCTGAGGATTCACTAGAAAATAAAATCTATTTACATACAATTTTGGAGAAGTCTGCTATGGATGATGGGGAAAAGTACTTTTGACACCAAATTTCCATGTGTCTCTTGTCAGTGCTAATTAATATAATGATCAAAAAGTATTAGCCCTCTTTCTTCAGCCCCAAGACACAGGGGAAAAACCAAGTTTCTGTAAAAATGGTAGGACAAACTGTCCAGTCAGAATAAGATGTATTCAGGAATATTTCTGATGCTTGCCTAATTTACACAATGATTTCATTTGCAAGATTTGGTTTGTCTTATTGACCCCTGTAAAACTTGTATTCAATATCTACACTGAAATCATCAGAAAATGATGCAATTACTGTACAAATGAATTATCAAAATATTGCAGTAGAGCATTACTCAAAATTGATCATGTTTAATAGTGAAATACAGGTTAGCACAGCATAACTTGCTGGCAAGTACTGTATCAAAAGCCTCCTGGGGAAGTAGGTTTGTAGTTACCTTGACATTGTCTCCAGGTAGATTTCTCACAAGTTAAAAGCTTCTTCAGAAGGAATGCCTTATATTAAAAATAATATTGACATATCAGATATGTATGATTGGTTCTTCAGTGGTGCAAACTGTTTCAATTTTCAATATAAGTTTAACTTACTTTTTAAAAATTAGATATATTCCCAATTACTCAAGAACTTCCCCCATACAAAGATATGATTTTTACCCCTTTAATGATGAAAGGCAGCTAAATAAATTATAACCTACTAAGTATTACATGCAAACAATTATCTATTTCCTCATGCGCGCATATATATATAATTCTTTCTTGAGAGGACAATGCCTGAAACATTTGATGGCCAATTATTGGGCTGAGAGGATCAAAGCTGCTAACTTTGTTAGGAGTCACATGCTGCAGAAACGGGTGGAACAGAGAAATTTCTTGTACTTAAAACTAATTTCTTAGTTTTGTCTTTACAACTAATTTAAGCCAGGTATTTCATGGTATTTTTGGCATACTGCATTAAATGAGTGTTGTAGATTTATGTAAAACTATGACAGCCAAAAATACCAATTTCAAGCTCAACACTACTGTGCATGGAGCACAGCCACCTAGAGTAAACCCATCCAATATACAAATGCCTATTGTGTGCACTTTAAATTATCGAGCAAGCCAAAAAAACAGCAAGTAAAATATGTTTCAATTAGATATAGTTTAACAAGTTCCTGTAGTATTACCTGAATAGGTGCAATCACCGCGCAAGGGCCTCCTTCAAATTGTTCTAATGCAGTAGATTCTGATTCACTGAACACAAACCCTAATAGGAGGAACCAAAATTATGAGTTAATAGTTTTCAAAATGAAATGTTACTTAATAAACCCAAGCGTCACCTCATCAGAATCCTTGTCAGGATCAGACTGCAGAGTGCCATTTTAAATATTCTCCATATCATCTTAATAATCCCTGGCAACACTACTCAGGTTCTTTCATAGTGTTTAATTGTACTGATATCCTCAGGAAGTTACACCAACTACACTCGGGAAGATACAAACATAAAGAACTTGAGAGCTTGTACTCTAACCTAATAGATCGCCTGCAAAAAGGAAGGAGACAGCTGCATCGGAATCAGAGCAAGAGCGAACAAGAATCAAAGACAGTGGACTGAAAAGTGAAGAGTAAAATATGTTAACTCAATTAACAGAACAGATGGTAAGAACAGCGTCTTCAGAAAGAGTGGTATATATGTAGGAGAGGTGCTTATCAGGTTTCACTAAAAATCAGAAAGAGTGGTATATATGTAGGAGAGGTGCTTATCAGGTTTCACTAAAAATCTTAACATCAAGGGCCACTTCACACTATCCTTTTATGCACAAGTAACAACTCATGTGCATGATCACATGGGCAAACATGATGTGTCAGATCCACAGATAATGCCAGTGTGAAGTTCACAGTGGTACTTTTCTTCACACTCTTCAAACACAAAAGATGCTGATAACTGTGGAAATATAGTTACCCAAGTTTGCAATTTGCCTCAGTAAAAAAGGCTTTCTTGGAATGGCTGGCAAAGTGACATTTTAAATGTTTATCAAACATTTTAAAAGCTTCATTATGTCTCAGGCTATCCATTTCATTTTAGGTTTTTTCTTCTGTCATTGCCTTTCAGCAATTTTACAGATCATGCAAATGATTCTGGCATTCTTAGGGATAAATATAAGATTGGGGGGATGAAAATCAATGACTTTAAAAAAATAAAAAACAGTGGATTTTAACAATTTAATTAGTTTTTAATAAAATACTTTAAGGAAAAATCCATCTAAAGATAATTTTCAATTTAAGATACATTATAGTTCAAAGGTTATTCATCATGAAATAACGATTAATTTTATTTATGTAGCATGAGGCTGTGTAATCATGTAATGTTTAATTTTTTTGGTAAATGAATTCCATTAATCCACTCACAATGGCATGCTCTTCCACAGAGATATCTGCAAGATTATTGGGCAATTTTTCTATCTAGAAGATATCATCACAGATGCTTAGTTTTACAGTTCTCAAAGCTGTGAATTTGTGTTTTCAGAGATCACATGCCTCTTCTTCATAGCAAAAATGTTATAAAATAAACATGCAGAGTTGAGAAAAAGACCTTAATCCCATTGTTCTTTTGCAAACCTATGTACACCCCCCACCTCTTAAGTGCTAAGGTTTTTTTAAAAAAATCATGACTAGAAGAAGATTATTAGGAGCTCAGTGGGAGGAGGGAGGGGCAAGCAGTAAAACTCAAAGTGAAAACTTTTGAGCAGAATACTCCACAAAATTCAAAAGTCTTTGAATTTTTTTGTGTCTAGCCTGAGGTTTATCATATTATTCTTTCTCTGGAGGAGAAAACCTGTAATGGCAGCAGACCATAAAAGAGATCCAGTTTGGGAATATTTTAATGAAGTTCTTCTCTCTACGGGGAAGGCAGGCATGTGTGCAAATTATGCAGAAAACCATGATTTATATCTAGTCTTACTGACTAGTGATTTCAATCAGATCCATCCCACATAAGATACTATTAACATTCAAGACACCAGCTTGAAGTCTTGCTCTAAAATCTTAGTTGTACTGCAAACTCTCTAGCATCGTCAACAGAGCTTCATAGCTAAAACAGTGCACACACTATGTTCAGCACACTAAATATGCATCCCATTTAAGCTAAACACCAGTGTTCTTCTGAAGACAATCCCTCCTTGCCTTCTTAAACATCAGCACAATTCCCAGACCTGCAAAACAAAGAAATTGACCTATGTAACCCTTCAGCTCCTGACAAACCCTTTTTCCATATACCATCAAGATCTGAAAAGGTCTCTCACTCAAGACATCCTCAAAAAATCAATAAGCATGTCAGGCAAAGTAACATGACATAAGGTAAAGGGAGAATAGACACCAAAGATGGCATAGCCAGCCAAAAGCATGTGTCAGCCCTTGAATGCTAACGAAGCATGTGCACAGTAGAAATGTGATGCAAGATCACAACATTCAGACCTCTGAGACACAGGAACTAAGAGGAAACTGTAGCTCCCAAAATTGGAAACTGCAGCTACAAGGAAGGAACAATGTAACTGGAGGCACAGAGAGCAGGTCTACCCTGAAAGCAAACAAGGGCTGGCAACCCTGACATTACTGCCATATTAAGAGCTGCCAGGGACTTTTAATACATCTGTATCTGTGAACATGTCCACTGTAGATAGAACAGCTGCACATGTTGGTGCTGCATTTGGAATTATTTATTATTACACAGTTGTTTCTTTTCTGCAGAAAAGCTCAATTTCTTAAATTTAGTAACAACTGCAAGCACAACATTAGGCAAGCTTGGTAGTTTCAGAATAGCAGTTACTCTTTTCAGGTGATTATTCCTGAAATGCGTGACAGAATACATATTTGTCATTGATATGTATGTCTCGATGTGAAAAGGAACAAATAAGTACTGATGACAAAACTGAAGATGCTGCAACAATTTCAGCTGAACTTGGATGAAGATAAATGACCAGTTGTCAGTATCTGACACACAGTTCTTTGGGTTGCTAAAATTAACTAGTACAGCCTTGCTCAGATGTAAAATCAGATGTACTTAACTACAACTCCTCCAGGGTAGGCCTTGTCCTCCATGCTATGCAACCTCAACAACTGCTGAATAAGGTTTTGCTGTTTCGAGTGCACTGTTGTCTGTACACTGATGACATGCAGCTCTATTCCTCCTTTTCATTTTTACTCGGTGAGGTTGTAGATGAGCTCAACTAGTGCCTGGCTGCAACAATGGACTAGATAAGGGCTAACAAACTTAAGCTCAATCAGGACAAGACTGAGACTGCTTTTAGCAAGCACTTCCTCTGATTGGATGGGGTCATGTGTTGTGAGATGGGCCAGGCTCATCACAGACTTTTCAAGGGCCTGTGTTATTCGATTCTGAAGGGAAGGACACCAAGGAAGAGGGGAGGGGAGGGTGAAAGGATCAAAGGAGAGCAGGACCCTTTGAAGCTCCATCAAGTTTGTTGTTTCCCAGCTGACATGAGCGCAAACATGTTTTGGAAGAGATGGGAGAGGAAGGATTCAGGGGAGGAGGGAAAACTATCCTCTTTCCCAGTCCCTAACCCCATGATGAGCAAGATTTGCATAAGTATTGCCAGCTGACTCTCCACCAGTGGGATCCACCCTGAGGGTGGAGTGAATCAAAGGGAAGGATCGGGGAGAAGTTCCCAGTTTGCATTTGCATTCAACATTCACCCTTTATGAGCTGAGGCTATCATTCATTTTGCTAGAGGGCTTTTAGAGTTGCATTGACTCCCCCCCCCCCCCCCCGGCGTATTCCTTAAGATCTGCGTTGTAAATGACTGTATGGTCTGGGGAAAAAAGGAAGGGTTGGGCTCAGAACATCACACCCCTCTTGAAGAAACACGTTTATAGTGCACGGGTGCTCCTTTGTCATTTGAAGTCCTCTTTTGTCATTTGAAGCCCAGTAGGCTTCAGTGTCTTGGAGGGCCTTCTATCAGTTTTGGCTGGTGGCTCAGCTATACCCTTATCTAGAGATAAGACTGTTGCCAGTAATCTATGCTCTGATAATCTCTAATCTGCCCTTGAAGACAGCTCAGAAGCCACAGCCCCTGCAAAATGTAGCAGACAGGCTAATAACAGGGACCAGACAGTCAGATCAAATAACACCAATTCTGGCCCACCTGCATTGGCTGCCTGTATACTCTTGAGCCCAATTCAAGGTGCTGGTTTTGATTTATAAAACCCTACATGGCTTGGGACACACTATCTGATGGAGTCTCTCTCCAGACTGCAATCTACCTGGACACTATGATCAAGTTCAGGGCCTGCATCTGATTGCCACTTTTAAAGAGAGGCAACAAAGTTGATGGCAACAAAGAAAAGGGCCTTTTCAGTGATGCACTCTACCCACTTATAAAATGACCTTCCCAATAAGGCCTTTCTAGTCTCCACACTATGGCCAACTTTAGCATGTTTTCATGCCAACTTAAGAAAGGCATTTAATTAGTTTGTAGAGAGACACTTTGTTAGCTGCTTAGAGAGGTTGTCCAATTAATTTTTGCAGGCTACTGTTATTTTTATATGTACTTTAATTTGTTTTCAAAGTCTGTATGATAACCTTTTAATGATTTTTTCCAAGTTTGTAGTTTTATATTGTGTTTTCATGTGTTGTAATTGGACAGAATATAAATAAATATAAATAAATAAATAAAACAATGCCAAGCATCCTCACACCGCCACACTAACCAAAGGCTGCTAGGAGTTATAATCCAGCATATCTGGAGGGCATCAGGATGGGGAAGGCTGAATTAGTGTGTCAGCAACTTTCAACACCTTTGGGTCATCTTTACATTTAAAATAATACTTGTGGTGTACAGGAAAAATAACTTTAAAACAAGCAAATTAAATAGCCAACACACTAAACGGATTTCTTTTTGATCAAATAATGCTATACAAAATGCCTTAATCTGCATAGGATTTTTTTCTGGAAACCCCATATCCCTGATCTCCATATCACTGCTGACTAAGCCTATGATATTACAGATGCAGTACAGATGCAGCTGAACATAGATTAAACATCAAAATCCTGAAGTGTTCACAAAATGTAGCAGTTTTCAGTTCACTCAATAGCTTCTGAAAAAAGGTATTATCAAAATCACTCAACTGAAAAATAGCATGATGAGACACCATGTTATTTGTCTGGAAGGGAATACAGACCAACCCAAAATGTTGCCATTGAGGTTAGTCCAGTTTTTAGTACCCTGCCCAAACCAGGTATTATCTGTATTAGACAAGGGTTTGTACTTAGTTGTTTCTATTCCAAAATACTCCAGTAAGCTATTTGTGGCTTGCATTAACATTCTGGGAATCAGTACAAAGTTAGAGTCTTTCAGCCAAGTACATATTAACTTTCTGGTTGTAGCTTTGTTGTTGGGCAATATAAAATTTAAATAAAATAGTGCCAACAAAAGGAAACAAAAAGACACTGGCATGAATGTTATTCCATCACTTGTATAAGCAAAGGCCAAACTTAGAACAGAACTGACATGCTTTGAATTTGAACTGACATGCAAAAAATGATCTTACAGTCAAAAGACATTGTCTAAAGGGTCATAAGATAGTTTAGATTCCCAGCTCTGAAAACAAAGACTGTGCACCAACCTTGAAGCTGTGAACTGGAACTTTGATCGCACCCCACCACCTACAGATGATGCAGAAAGAACTATACCAGATGCTCAACAAAGTCAGGACAGAGACCTCAAAGAGGCATTAAAGGGGGTGTTTTGGGGGCAGGGAAGAGATCAGGGAAGCCAGGATACAGCAGCATCCTAAAGCCACCGCAGTGTCATTCATTTCCCCTGTGGGAGGCTGTTCTGAGATGCTTAAAGACAGCTATCTAGCAAAAAGGCAGAGTAGCAGCAACAGTGTGAGCAAAAATCAGCTCCACTACTCCTCCTACTCTACACTGGATGAGTGCGAACCTTCAACTTTGGCAACTCATGCTCCTCTTGATAAGTTTGCCCTGAAAGACTATCAGATCCTCAACTGAAGGGGGTGGTTCTAAGAAGTCAAAATAATAATAATAATGGAGTCATTCGAGCAATTTTTCCACCTCTTACAAGCTAACTAGATAACATAACATAGAAGAAGACACTGAGGAAACTCAACAGAACAAGCCACTATTAGATCAGATGGGAGCCTAAAGCCCTTAACTCACCCATGTGACCAAATACTACCACTGCCAACATTGTAGGACAGTTCTTATGAAAAACAATGAAATTAGCAACATTGGTAGAAGCTATCAATAGATGTTTTTGGCCATTACATCAACAGGAAAAGAAGCAAAGATACATCCTTCCCAGTAGTAATATACCAGCAATTCTTGCAGACTTAACTACCTGGTGAAAAAGACATTATACAGAGGTCAAGTGTAAGAGAATGTCATGTAAACTCTATTATGATTATACTTTCTCTAGCAGAAATAGATCCCTTCCAGCCCTGGCAAAAAACTGGAGAAGTGGGATGGAGAGATTTCAAGTCCAGAAAGATAGGAAGGGGAGAGGAACACCACTAATCACAATACAGAAATGGGGCCAGGGGGCATATTATTTCCAAAAGTGCTAGCATCTACCTCTCTGTCATTAAGCAATGCTCATACGTTAAAGGTGCAAACCTAGTCTGAAAAAGTCCTACAGCTCTTTGACTGGCTGAAAATTGTAAGCTTTTTTCCTGTCTAAAATGCATGGGACTGCACATTTAGCTTTAAGTATTTCTAGGCTGTCTTTCAGGGCAGGAGCCTCTATAAAAAAAACAGGAACAGTTGCTATTCCAGGTACACTATTACTATGGCCTGTTATGAGCCACTATTGGCCTCAGTAATGGTCACAGAAATAACTAGTGTAAGCTGAACACATTACCTATAGAGATTTCATCTTACTGCTATTTGTAGAGTTGTAGTTTTTGAATCATTTTTAGTAGTGACATGAAAAGTCCTGCTTGCTCAGACCAAGAGTCCATCTAGCAAGTATTCTCTTCACACAGTGGCCAACCAGATGCCCAAGGGATTCCACAAGGAGGACATCAGAGCCACTGTATGCTCTCTGCCCAGGTTCCCCAGCAACTGGTTTACACAGGTATATCTGCTTTGTTGTTTACTTGAAATTGCTTTTACTGGTATTTTAATATGGCATTTGAATGCAATTTTTAATATGGCATATGACTCACTTGGCAATATTAATACATGCTATTTCATGATAAATAACTCGAGGGAAGGGAGTTGGGGTGTGTGCTTTAAAAATGTGGGATCGAAGTGAAATGAGAAAAGGAGATGGAGAAAGGATAGAAGGCGGAGATCTGAGAGAAGAGGCGGCCTGGGATGGCGACGAGGAGGAGAGAGGTACCTTGCGCCCAGCGATAGAAGATGGTATCTGCGAGGCCCTGAGAGCCAGGTTTTTTGCCCCACACCAGGTGGACGAGCTCCTGTCCTAATTCAGCCATGGTGGCGGCAGCGGGGGCGGCTCTCTGGCTGGGCGATTACAGAGGCGATTCCCGGCGGTGTAGACAAGGCGGCAAGGGCGACGAGGAGGCAGCAGCGAGGGCTGCGCGGCGGCGGCCAGCCCGCTTTCCTTGAACATGGGCTGGGCGGGGGGCAAAAGGCAGGAGAGGAAGCGGTCTCCGGCGGCGGCGGCGGCAGTCACACTCTGGGCCGCCAGGCCTGGAGGAGAAAAAGAGGCGGCGATGCTCTTCAAGGATGCCCGAGGGGCAGGGGGAGGCGATGGCGGAGGGAGGCGAGCGAGGCCCAGCGCCGCCCGTTCGGTTGCGGCGGCAGCGCCACTTGGGAGAGGGCAGCGCCCCCCGGAAACGGGCCAAGCAGAGCCAGCGCCGCCCTCTCCCATTCCAAGTCCTCCTCAGAAAACGCACTGACGCCGGTGCGTGAGCCCCGCGGCCGGGAGGCCCCAGTCACTTCCGCCGGGCTATTCCGCCCCACAACGCCCCCCCCCCAGCCGGCATTCCCGCCCCACCGATCTATTCCTCCGTATCTGGGGCGTCCTGTTCATTTCCCTGTTTATGGGTACCGTACTGACCCGCCTCCGCGCGCTCTTCGTCCCACTCCTGCCGCTGCCTCTGTTTTACTGACTCACTCCTTCCGCTCAGGCTCGTGTGTAACACTCAATGAAGGGCACGGAGACTACGGATGATTCTCATTGGGAGCAGCCCCTGACAAGCAAGAGACCGGTCGAATCAGAGAAGAGTTCTAGCGGGTTGTTTGTTTGCTCTTTGCCCCACCCTCTTCACATCACGCTCAGAGTAAAGCGAAGAAGCTACACACACATCTCACACGCGCCTGAACTGGGCTGCCTCTGATTTGACTAAGTCACCTGACAAGCACTTAGAAGAGCCAATCAGCAAGAGATAGGGAGAGCCGGCGAAGGGGTTCGCTGCTATAGGCTGTAGAATAATTCAACGGAAGGATGCGGGGCTGTGCAAACAATTTTCTTTGTAACATATGGAAGAGTTGCGCAGGGTTCTCGTTTGCATGGAGATGGAATGGGTGAAGATGCACGCTTAAGTTGTCTTCCCAATGTGCAGCGAATTTTTAATTTTTAAAATATTAGAGTAGTTAAAAGATAAGAGAGGATGGCCATACCAAGCCCATATATTTCATATTACATTAAACACTATTCTGTATTATTTTAAGACATCTAAAACAACTGCTTCCCCGGAATGCAGAAAAACGAAATTCATTTTATGCCATTTAGTATGATTTTATTGTTTAAAATTCTCTCTCTCTCTCAGTAATGCTCATGAAAAGGATGGATAATCGGTGTAACATCCCCTCACAGTATAAAACACTCTGGGTCCTATAAAGAAAAGTTAAAGCATTAGAGATAATCATTTCTTAAGAAAATCATTCTGAATGAAAGTAAAATCTTTAACATTGTTCCCACTCCTAACCGAAATTGTTACTAATTTCTCTTAGTGCATTTGTAACCCATGTAGCACTGATGGATTATTTGTGTTTGTTGGTTTATTTTTCTGCTCATTCTTCTTATCATCTAGTATCATAATATTATTAAGATTTAAAGAAGCTAAGAAAAGTTGCAGAATGAGATTTGCAAGAGTTTAGTCACCATGGCCCTGTTAATGCTTTCTCAAAGCGGAACAACAGAAAAATAACAAGAACATCTACCAGTCACTCCATGCCACATTGCAACTGTTTTATGTCACAAAATAAAGAAAAAACTGAAGCATAACTACATAACATCTCTAAAGGTATTATTGATCTTCTCCAGTATAAAATACCATATTGGTGGAAGGTTTCCTTTTCAGGTTAGAGTCAGGTTTGGAAGTGTGTGTCATGATCTTTTTATTTTACCAGGGAGTTTAGTTTTTTTTAATTGCATTGGCACTTTTTAAAGTTTCTATTTAGTTGTTTTTGTTTTATACGGCAGCTTAAAATTTCCATATTGTAATTTAACATGTTGTATTTTGAGGTGGTAAGTGATGGGAGTTACTCAGAAAGCTTTGACTATGGGTTGGAAGAGAAATGAATAATTCCAGTTTGGTCCTCATTCAGTGTGCCCTATTATTAGCCAGACTAAGGCAGCTGATTTAGGGGTGTAATGAAAGTATAGCAGTTGTATAGCAAACATTATTTTTATTATGTTTAATCCAAGGGAAACGTGTGTGTCAGGTTTTTTGTTGTTGTTGTTTTTGTTTCAGAGGTTGCAGTTTGTCCAAAATGTGGCAGCAAACTACTAACTGGAACTAGAAGGTCCAAACATTTAATTTGCATTGACAGCTTCTGAGCCTGATTCAAGGTGCTGGGCGTAATTTATGAAGACCTCCACAGTGTGTGTCCATACTTGATTTCCAACCACAGTGTACTGTAGGGAAAATCCAAATAAATATTTATAGAGAAAAGGTATTTATGTGGGCCTTGTCAACATAAAATCAAACTGCAGTGTCTCTCCTTCTCTTACCCAAGAAGAACTGGAACTGGCCAAGCTCCCTTGTCCTGGGGAAAGTGGCAGCACCAGAGACTCCATTATTCATCTGTTCCTTGCAGGCAGTAATCCCCTCTGGAAAGCCTGCTGGTGGCTCTGAGCAGTTAAAGTTAAAACAATGTGTCTGACCAGCTCACCTGCTGCCTGGAGCATGTGCTGCATAGATTCTCCTCCCTGATGCAGTTGTCTCTCCCTGAATGTCAAAAATCCACTCCTGAGATCCGTTATTATTCATATCACTCAACTGTTTGCATCACCCCACATAGTTGTAACTTTGTGCAACACCCTTCCTGTTGCTAACTCATCTTGTTCTGGTTATGCCTGCATCGTTTCTTGCAATGTAGCCATTCTTCCCTCATCATCAGCTTCGCTTCTGTGTATGTGGCCCAGACCTTATGAAACATTCTGTATATGCTCAGAGAACGTGTAGTCAGTGAATGTACTGGTTACCTAGCAGTGCTGTTGTATTTTCGTCTGTGCAGAGGGGATCCTGGGTGTTCTCACTAATGAAACTGCTGAGGTTTTTGCAGTTTCATCTTCCGTGTGGAACCAAGCATACATTCTCCTGTTCTGCTAAACTGGGATTTCCTGTCAGTACCAAGACATGATGATCAGTGTCTGAGGCCTTCCTCCGAATGCCATCTGCAAGGGAGGCTCTGTTGGGGCAGCAAAGAGGAGGGCCTTCTTTGCAGTAGCCCCCTGATTATAGAATGATCCTCCCACTGAGGCCCACTTTACTATTTTTTTCACTCCCAGGTGAGGATATCTCTCTTTCTTAAGGCATTTACCAACTCCAGTGTGGGAAGGGAGTATTAACTGTTGTTTTTAACAATATTGACTTCTTATTTGTTAGGTTATTTAAAAATTGTTTTTTAAAGTATAATTTTATGATGTTTTCCACCAATATCTGTATTTTATATTGTATTCTGTTAACTGTTGCATACTACCCAGAGAGCTTCAGCTATTGAGCAGTATAGAGATAAGGTAGAAATTTAATTGTGACACAGAAGTTTCCCTTGCCTCTTTTAAACCCTGTTTTTAAAAGCAGTACTGCTGTTCTAACACCAGGTGTCAATGCTGCTCTTCCACTGCCATAAAACTTGTCAGTTTTCATGTGTAAGACTATTGTAATGGATATTATCTACACTTCCTTCAGCCTTTGATTTTGGTTTGGGTCCATTAGCTGCCATTTTATATCAACTATATCAATATTTTATACAGCAGGTGCATTAAATGCTCTACTGAATCTGCTCATCACGAGCTTCATAGCAGCTGTGCAGAAACTGCTTAAGTGAAAAAATGATTGTGCAGAAGAGGAATGGGTTGCTGTAGTATATAAAATGGCTTGTCATTGGTAAAATGATAGCTCTCCCCCCCTCCTCCTGCAGCAAGTTCATTTTCTTAATGCACACAAATTCGTGGTCTTAGTAAGGAAACCCATTGCATTTGGGCAAGCCATTATCAATGGGATCTACTTTTAGAAGGTAGTTGCTGAATCATTACTCAGGGCTCCCTGGATGCAAATCAGTAATCAAATATAAAGTCATGTTTTCACATTCATTAGTGATTCTTTAGGCTATTGTTTTAGGGTGTCCATATGTGCTCTGTGACAAAGAGAAGCCATCAATTTGAGGGGCTGACGAATGACTCTCTTCTGACAGCATCCTTTGATTGAAGGGCTGCCCAGTCCAATTCTAGTTTAAAGATAATGACTGCCATCCATGCACAGTTCACGCCTGGTCAGCAGACTGAGCAGCCAAGCACACGGGTCACCTGGTCACCACTTTCCACACTATGGTGATCGCTTCTGTATTTCTATTAAAATGACAATTCTAGATTTGCATCTATACATAGGCATTTGTGTCTGCAGACTTTTCTGGAATAGGTCCCCCTCATTTGTCCTCTATTTGGTGATCCATATGTGGCCAGCCTAGCTGTTTCCCTAAATGGTATTGGTGTTCTCTTGCTTCAACTGTATTCTGGGAAGGGTTCAACACACTTCAGAAGCTGTGGTCCAGTTATGGACACCTACAAGCTGCTCCAATTCAGTGCAAACAGTCCATATATCATGGTAGAAAGTGTATCTACTTTTAATACAGGAGTGAAAAACTTGTAGGCCCAAAATCCAGAAGGCCACAACTCCCATCATCCCTCCTCATTGACTATGCTGGCAAGAACAGATGACAGTGGTAGGCCAAAGCATCTGCAAGGCCAAAAATTGCCCACTTCTGCTTTAGTGGGAAGGGGAAGGGGCAGGTTTGTGACTGTAGCTGAGGAAAAACCAGTGTTGGATTCTGGAGACACATCTGGAGAGATGCTTTCAAGAGCACATTCACCGATTGCTGCTGCCTATTCACTTACCCTTTTCTTCTGGGCCCAATCCTAGATGAAGAGGACAAGGAGAATATCAACTGTTGCTCCTTCTCCTTGCTTTTCTGACTGTTCATTTACTCTGGGAGAAGGTGAATAGTCAAGGATTGCAAAGAGGAGGTGATTTGGGGAGTCCTAAACATTGGCCAAAAATGGGAAACTGATGCAGGTGTTTTATACCTACCAGGATAGAGAGAGAGTTAGTCACAAAAACCACCATTAGTACCTAATCCTTCAGGCTGCAGAACCAGTCAGTTGAAGTTGGTTTGTGGCCTTTAGCAAGATATACAGTCCAATACAGTCCAACACTG